ACAAGGGCTGCCATGATCAAAGAGATCCGAAGAGACGACTAAAGAACAACCCCCAGTTGATGGCACTCACAGCAGCCACTGCACATGCGAAGATCTTGATGGCCTGCCGTGAAGCAGGGACTCCACCAAGGTTGGAGGATAGGGTTTGTGGAGAGCGTGCTGTCGATACTGAAGTAAAGGGACAAGGTCTGAGTATGTTTGGAGGCCCCCGCGCCTCCATCGTGTTTCTCACAGAAGCCATTTCAGGCCAGAGAGCCAGTACTTGTGCCTGGTGAGACCCAACCACGTCTTCAAGGTCACACTCCGTCACACTCCCATGGTCACCCTGCGGACTCCCCTATGCCGACTGTAAGCTGCGATAGCGAAGCAGAGGTTTGTGACACTTTGGTGAGCAAATTCTCTGTCCTGACAAAAGGAAACAAACAATCCAAGCTGTACACCGAGTGGCTGCTGCCAGTATTCTGTGATGAGATCCTGTGCATCGGCTTCGCTCAGCTGGGGCATACTAGAGATGGAGTTCAGGAGTCTGGGAGTTGAGATGACGACTTCGAGCGTTCGGGAGCTGAGGAGTCATTTTTCAAAGTCCCCTGGCATTAACCTTCGGGGACCCTGACACATCTGCTTCACACAGTTGAGTTCGATGCGACATTCTTCTGGAAAGTGCTTTCAAATTTCACGCTTCACGATGAAATGCTTGCTGCAGATTGCTTGCTCATTAGCTTGCAATGCGACATGACAGGAATGACAGTGCCCACAGGCGTTCACGCGTGCGGTTCTCATGGATACCCTCTGTACTGTATGGTGGGGTTCGTACTTGTCATTCATGGCTGGCCGAAGACGGAAAACACGATCCGTCGCACGTGATTGGTCACCTCAAGCATCAACCTGCTGCACCCTGATCTAGCCGTGTATGACATTCCTTTCATAAACAACGTCGTGCCGGGCACGCGAGCAGCCTGCGCCAGTTCTGCTCTGCCAACAAGCTCTCATGCACGGCATGGATTTAGTACTATACATATACTATACATGCCCTTCCATCAGCTGCTGTCCAATCTGTCCATAGTACTGCAGAGACGACTTGTCCTGCAGCATCGCGTGGGCCTCTTGCTCGCGGCCAGCACCCAGTACGTTCGCGAAGCCCAACCTGCTCGCGAGCGGAAAAAAATGCTACATGTTATATCCTTTCATGCCATGCGACACAAAACGCGCATAGATGTGCCAAGCATGCTTCCAACAACATCGAAGTGCTCGAGCTCTTGCTCAGGCAAGCTTCGCTCAGGTAAAAGAAGAAGTCCTCTACACGAGCACTTGCTGAGAGCATTTAGCCACGTCGCAGCTTGCGCTGGATGTCATCCGCAATCTGGCCATTCTGAAGCTGTTCGTAAAGAACGCGTAGGCGAGCATCAATGAGGGCCTGGTCACGCCATAGAAACACCGCACCAGGCAGTCAGCACCACTACGTTGCTCAAGACACTCAAGTGGCGTAGCATGGAAGACTCTAGTCACATCTCCCAAACAATCTCCATTTCCAGCTTGGCAAAGACGAGTCGAAACAGTAGGAGAGCGAGACTGCCATGAAGCTGTCTATTCCTCAAAGAAGGGACAGTCCGCAAAATTAGCCTGGCGATCTGGCCGGCGGCGCGCAGCACCATCGAGCGTTGGCCGCAATGCGCTCAGGTCCTCTGAGGTTCTCGTGTCTTCGCAAAATGCAAGGGACTACAATCTGAGGGCCATCATTTCATTCCAAAGCCTCGACGACCAAAGTTCACAAGGTCCTGCATAGGCTGCCCTCGCGAACGGCCTCATCAAACACATCGAGCTCTCATGATGGCAGGTGAGTATGCGCTCTGCTCTGTTAGGAAACTCAAGGGCGAGATGCAATGGATCTTCAGGCCTGACATCTGTCTTCTGAGGTGCCGGCGGAGCTGGCAATCCTTGCACCGGTTGCTAGGGAGGGCTGCCTGACCGTCGGAGGTCTGCAAAGAAGCCCCATTGCAGCCAACGAGGGCCCAGAGTCCAGGACAAACCGCCGAAAAGCAACACAGGGCGCCATTATTGGCACTCTGTTTTGTCGCCTCTGCAGCCTGAACTCGAGCTGCATCAGCCCACGAAAGGCAGAGGTGTAAGCCCATGACTTGAAGAAGGTCGCCCTTCAGACAGACACGTACTATGTACTGCTCCCAGCCTTGTTCGGGCAATCCATGCATTGTCCGCGGCCACCAGCATTGGGCACGCCCCAAACTCTTCCAGTGCTGTCACGGGATTCCTCGGTCGGTATACAACCAAGCACGTGCTGAATACAGCCGTGCAGCTGCACATGTGGTTGGTTGCAGACATGGTTCGTAGGAAGCAATTGCCGCAGCAGGAGGATTGACGCTGTTTACCTCAGTGTGTTTCCGGACATGAACTGACCCATGCAGGCCCATGATTCAGCTCTGTGGGCCGAGGCGCCTGTGTATCGCACGACCTGGACCATGTCAGGAAAGCTGGTGAAGTGAGTGTGCAAGCATGCTAGACCTTTAACCCCCCAGACATGCAAAGGCGCTGGGGCCAGTGGAGAGGTCCCAAGATCCCCGAGCTTGCGCCAAGCGTCGGCATCGTCGGCGTCGGCATCGTCGGCGTCGGCATCGTCGGCATCGTCAGCATTGCTGGGGCGGCTGGTGCTGGGGCTGCCAGGTGGCCTGCGGAGCTACGCTCTGCCTTCACTCCGATGCTTCAAGTCTTGGCGGTCGCATATGTGTGCACAGGCATCTGCAGGCTTCAGGACTACCTGCAACGCAGCCTACCTGGATGCATGGCTGGTACCATGCAAGCAAAAACCGCTGCTCTCCAATCCGGACGCAAAACCTTGCTTTCGAAGAACAGGCATTGCCTGTGATGATCTGCGGCTCGGTAAGGGGCTCGGCCGAACCGAAGCATCCCATCCTGGGTGGCTGAGTACAGTACGTGCTGCAACCCGAATTGAACCCCCTGAAAGCCTTTTGACGACTGTCGAGTGTCCGTCGCCCCAGCGGGGTCATCGGCATCGAAGCAAGCTGCATGGCTCCGAACAGCTCACGTATCACAGCTATATGAGTGCCAGGCGAACCCAGTGAGATGTAAGCAATGTAAGCCTGTTCGTGAATCTACCGCTCGATGCCTCGCAACTGGCATTCACATGATGGCAATCCAAATGATCCCTCTGCCCTCCTTGATGAGTGCCATTTTGGGCCGCGCAGCAGGCAACATGCATCATCATGCAGCACACCAACCCATTAACACACTCTCATTTCATCCCTGTGACGGAGTCCAATTACGCGGAGCGTGGATGTGCACGTGGCACGGGATGCAGGTAACACATTGTCGCGAAAAGGCTGGAAAGCATTGTGAACTTACAAGAAAGAGAGTGTTTTGTTCATGTTGCCGAAGTACGTCTTCGGGATTTCGTGGACTGCAATTCGGTTTCTTCTTTCCTTGTTCATCCCTGCTGATCAAGCTGCCCAAAACCATTCCATCAGAGAATCCTGGGTTCTTTGCATAGGATCCCGACTGAAAAGGACCCGTTCGGCCGGCAACACACCAGCATCCCCTCCTTCCCCGCGCCAGAGCCGTGTCGCAGACATGGTCCAAGCCTCAAGACAAAGGCACCGAGCAAAACAGCATGATCAGCTTCCCTGCGTTCGCAGTGCGGAAAGAAGATCCCTGTACCACACAAGCAGATCTGAGTTCCGAGGTGTAGCTGGGCATCCCTTTTTTTGGCGCCACGTGATACGACTGCACTTCGGCCAAACTTCGGAGCACTTCTCTGCTCCCAAACTGGAAACTGTGGAGCGAACGTGGCGAGTTTCTTTGAAAGGGAAATCTGGAATTTGAGAGCGACCCGGTATTTCGATATTGGCCTGGCCAAGCCACTGCAAAGGAATACACAGGCCTGCTCCAGCCCAGAGTCTTAACTGCCAGTTTCGCCGTTCGCCACATTCCCTCACAAGCTACTCTCCAGCTACGCTCCAGTTCGTTCAGACACGCGTCATGTCTTAGAATGCAGAGTCGGCTCTAGTATCATGCCTATTGCGCTGCTCATGAACACCCAAGCTTAGGCCCAAGCTTCATTGCAGATCCTTCCATATATATATACACACAAACATATGAACGTATACGATACAAAATGACCATGTACGATGACATATACGATGGCATAAGCTGAAGTATGATGATATGCGATAACAGCCCCATACTATACATGATAGACAACCAAAATGACAAGCATACCATGACAAACTACCATATACGACAATACTGCACAAACCGTAAGTATACTATGAACTACGACAATGTGCGATATTTACGAGATACAAGAAAGAAACAAACACATACTACGATAGTTGACCAGGCTATACGACCATTTAAGTATACGATCGTATACAAGAACTTACAACATACTGCAAAACGATGAGAGCTAAGCTAAGATGATGTGCTGCGTTGTCCGCAAGTATACTAATTACAATGCAACACTATCATGTACAACAACACTAGTTCGAACGGCCTTTCCTTCCACTCAACACTCCTCTCCTCAGCCCTCTCCACCTTGTACCAGCACCATCATGTATCCCAGCCTGTTGCCTGTAGAAAGCGCTGACTGTTTCGGGGCTTGCGGAACTTATGTTGCGTTGGAGGCTGCTGGGCCTTTGCACACTGTTCATCCGTTACAATGACGAGTTGTATTTTGATGCTCTGCTCTTATGTTGTTTCATGCCATACAGCTCCTGACAATCGACACACACACACACACTACCACGTGGACTGTTGGCACTTGCCGGTGGCAGTGATTCGCTTTGGCGAGAATGCCTCCCCGCATTGCGCTCATAGGGTCGACAGTAGACGCCTGGCTAGACGCCTGGCTGGCCATGCATCCTGTGATGGGCTACTCATGGCTACTCTCTTCTGCCGGTCCATGCCAGTCTTGAGCGGATGTTCACAGCTCAAATTGCAGCCGATGGCCCATGCCCATGCCCGTCTCCGCCTCAGCGACGCCTGGAGTCATTGCGAGGGCGCGAGTCACGGCCGCGTCCGCCTCCTCCTCCTCCCCCTCCGCCCCTGCAAGCGCCATGGTTCAAATGACGGAGCCCAGGCGGGTTCTGATTCAGTTCCTCTGCCCTTCGTTTGTGTCTTGCTGCTGCGCGCCTGTAAGACGGTGACCGGCGCGGCGGCGATCGATGTCGAGACCGCGACCTGAACAATGAATCGCTGCTCAATCGCTTCAGCAGGGCACAGGCATCATGTTTTTGCTCTATCGATGTTCGCCGAGCGCATCGCCCGGGCACTCTGAGCCGCTGAGTTGCTGAGTTACTGAGTTCGGAACGGCGAGCGTCGGCGTGAGTCAGAACCTAGGGGCAGGACGGCGCTGCACCAAGCCGTTGAAGATTCTCTCTTCCACCCTCGAATGGACATGTGAGATGCCGTGCCCTGCCATGCAACTAGACTCACGAGACATGAATGTCGTGAAGCCTGGCAGAGTCAGACACAAATCTTAGTAGTCCTGTGGAGGCTCACGGACTTGTGTAACTTATTGATAGGCTGCTGTGCTTCTACATGCTGCTATACTTGCCACTTCGACGACTTGAATCTGTGCGGCCACGGAACGCCGTCGCGGCGGGCTCCGGCCTCGCGAGTCCGAGCGGCCTCGCCGGTCCTGTGGGGCTCGGCAAGTTGGGACTTCGGCGCGCAAACGTGCACCCATGTGCAGAGACGTGAAGTGCTCTGGACTCCATGGACTCCGAACTCCTCTCAGAAGTCTCCCCAAAGGAATCCAGAAGCTTGGAAGAGGATGCACGTTGCTATCCCGTGTGACACCGTCTCCTCGTCTCCGCGGAGCTTCTCCTGATCAAAGAGAGAGACAGCTCACTCTGGAGGCCCTTCGCATGAATCGAAGGAACCCTTGAAGCCTTGCCTGAACCAACTCATTCACGAGCCGCTCTGCAGCCTTCAAGCAGGCGAGTCATGCTTCGTGACTTCTTTGCTTCGTCCCGAAATGCAAAGCGATGCTACTGCACCTGTTCTGCATCTTTGAATGCCTCTTCTGAATACTTCTGCTCTGGGCCACACACCATTCTGCCGGTGTTGCTGACTTTGGATCCTCGTCGCAAGTCTCCAAAAACAGGAGATTCTCTTGCACGAGGGAAAACACTGCAAAAACGCATCGCATGGCGCATGGCGACTCACAGCAGGTGCGCTTGGAGGACACTTTGAAGGCTCTGCCGCTCCAACAATCCAACATCACAGCACCCCAGTGACCTTCTTTCACGCTAATGTGGGCTGGTGTGGGGCCTGCTTCATGGCTGAAGATGCAAAGCCGTTCATCACCACGACCATCCAAGGCCATGAACATGTAGGTAGAGGTCCTCAGGTGATGCAAACGGAGGATTGTTGCTTCTCAGCCCCCGGCCTATGGCTCCATCTCTTGTTTGGCACTATGCGGATCTGGCTTGGAAGATCTTCGTGAACAAGAGCCTTGCACTGCTGGAAATTCTGAGTGGCCCCGCTCGTGCTCCATGCGCCGGAGCTCGGAACCCCGGTTCCCAGTGACCCAGCCTTTGCCTTGGCACAAGGGCGGATTCGCATGCACTCTGACACTCAGAGCTCCCTTCGATAAAGTAGTGGGTGCACTGCATCGGCGGCAGAAGGAGCCGCACTTGAAAAGAAAAGCTGGGAACAGCGCAGCTCAGACTTGAGAGGTTCGCAGTAGCTGAGGAACGTACAGTTCGCAGGAATGTGCATCTCCTTAGGTGCCCGAAGCATGGCTGCTGATGAAGGCAAGCAGTTTCTACAACACCGAGCCTGCCGCCGACCAATCCCAAACTCCCCAACCCAACGGCGGTGATTGAGGGCAAGTTCCATACGAGTATGTATATATGCAAATGCAATGTTATATATCTACACAAATAATGTGCAAAAGGAGGGAGGTAAGGTGATTCTCCACTCTTCCACATCCAAGTACGGCATTAGAAACATGGCTTTATTCAATGGTTTCCCGAGCAGGGCTTGTCGCCAGACAGCTACATACAGAGCCTTACAAGGGCTCTCGCTAGCCCAGAACACTCTGGGCCCAATTTGTCGACTTGGAAGTCAAGCCGCCGTGCAGTCCTCCCTGTCTGACACGTCCGGGATGGTCACGGCACCTGCAATTCGAAAAGAGCCAAAACCCACCAAACCCAAAACTGCTCCCTCAACCTCCTCCGCCAAAAAACCCCAAACTCCCCGTAGAAAACACAAAGAACTGAAATCCAAAGGAGAAAGGAGCTCCGGTGCATGCGAGCCTTTGAGCTGCTGCAGCAGCCAGCCGATATACTCCTTACAGCGGCGCCGCTCCTGACCGTGACGCTTCCTTAGGGGGGGTCTACAGGGGTTTGCACGGGCTTACCGTGGCCAAAGCACGGTTCAAGAGGGTGTCTTAGGACCTTCTTAGGCAGCCTAAGAAAAGTTTGGGGTCATTGCTTTCTTGTGCTGACCCCGCGGTGCTGGGCGTCCTTTCCAATGCCGGCCATGAAGGCATAGCGCCCAACGAACTGTAGGATGCAACCAGCAGCCTGCCGTAATCAGAACGCAATCATGATACGAGTAATGGTATATACTCAACAAATATTTAAATCTAACATTCTACTTAACGATATAGAGAAAGATACATAATGAAAAATCCCAATACATAATTAAGTACCAAGAACTCTGTACATATACATATATATATATGTGGTATATACATACAGATGTATGTATGTACGTTTATTGTTCTTATTGTTCTTGTTCTTATCATTACCATTACTATGATTGGAATAATTATTGTTGATATATGTATGTATATATATATATATACATATATGTATATATATATATATACAATGGAATATGATATATATATATATATACATATATGCAGGTTCGGAGCTCGAAGCGAAGGCAACAGGAACTCGCGAAACCCTCTGGCGCCCCGCTTGCCTTTTCAATTTTCTTCTGTGTGGCAGCTTCCTTTCCAATGACATAGCTCAGCTCATCTTCTTTGATGGCCTCATGTTGCTCAGTTCTCCAGACGAGCGCTACAACTCAGTGGCCCACCACACACATGTGCACCAAAAAATTGCTAAGACATGGACCATGCGATCTGTGTCAAACCCTCTGCTGTCGGAGAACTTTTCCCTGCCGGGCTTCAAGGTGGAATGCGAAACAGCTAAGCATTGCAAGTCCAGTCCAAGAGCCCAAGAGCCATTCAGAAGCCCTCCAGAGATGCCAGTGCCTGAGGCCCCTGGAGAAATGCCCAGGTGCCTGGTCGGAGAGATGGGAGCTGAGCAGGGCGAGCGAAAGCTGTAGGTCCCCCCTTGGGGGGGAGGGGGGCCGTGATCTTGAATCCCTGAAGTATCAGGCCAAAGGAGGTCACTCCAAGTTTTCTTTGGCGCAAGACAACAAGGTCTTCAATCAAGATTCCCGACTGGGAAAGGAGCCTTCTTCTCAATTTCGTTCATGCACTTCAGCTCGGCACCTTGGAAGGCGGGGGGGGCATGTTGAGATGACCCATCGAGGCCCTTTTCGCGAGAGCAGCCTGAGGCTTCAAAGAGTCCCGGCCACTTGAGTGCAACATAGTGCAACAGGATACTTTTCAAAGCTACAGGATAACTTTTCGCAGCTTAGGGTGGCCGTAAGCTGTTGCAACGGGCAGCGCGTCTACTGCAACAGGAAGATGCAGGAAGTACAGCACCCCCGCCTCGCCGACCACGCTCGTTGCCACAAATGATGAGCTTCTCTGCCTGTTCCAAGGAGCTGTTTCCAAGACGGCGAGCGCATGTGGGCGGCCAGTTGCCGTTCTATTGCCGAGCCTCTGCACCTGTTCTACTGGCGGCTTGGTGTATGGCTCAAACTTTTCAAGCTTGGTATCTGCCTGAATACATGTCCCCAATGCCCTCCGCGGCCCTGAAGCACTCCAGGAAACTCCAAAGCCCCTGCAACCTGTCATCGACAGAACCCCAGTCCCAATCAGACACCAGAGAAGCTCATGAGTTGATGAGCTGCACATCTTGGCAAACCTAGCCCGAGCTTATAACCATAAACCGGAAGTCCCAACAAAATCCGCAGAAGATTCGCTTCGAACCCACCAGGCCTGACCACCCCGCCCTCCCTTGTCTCCGTCCTTCCGCAAGGGCGCTCTTCTGGGCTTTGGGGTTTGGGGTTTAGGGTTTAGGGTTTAGGGTTTAGGGTTTAGGCTTAGGGTTTAGAGCCTTCGGGATTTTGAGGGTTTGGGCGTTGGATTCTCGATGGGGGAGTCTGGAGTTGGGATTCAGGATTGTGGTTCAGGTTGTGGGACCTTAAAGCTGCACGAACTTCTGCGTGACATGCGCCTTCGTCATGAAGAACATGAGCGTCCCCCACTCCTGAGCATGCTCATCTATACGTGAAATTCTCAAGCTCTTCCAATATATAGGTACGAGTACTGGCTGAGCTCATGACGCTTGCATACGCTGCGTACAGCAAACAGGTGAAAGCAACTGACATCGCCTTGCTTCGCCTTTGCTGTCCGCCAAGGTGCTTCCTCCATCCGGCCCAGCGTGGCCCGCCGACTGCCAGTAATGTAACCTTGCCACATGAAGCGCTGAAGTGCCGAGCTTCCCGGGCTTCGAAGCTGATCATGGCTCCCCGGCATGTTGATTTGGGCTACGTTGTGTTCTTTGTGGCGATGAGACGTGACTCGACCGTTGCCCTGACCCTATCAGTCATGCTGAGCGGCCGATGCAGTCCGAAGGAACCTGAGTTTCAGCCGGCGACACACACGAAGCCCCTGAAGAGTTGAGCATCTGCCGACAAGCTCTCAAAGTTCGACTCAGATCCGCACGTGCACAACACCTTAGCATCAAAGGTCACGACGTTCTCAAATCCACTGGAGCTAGGTTCTTGCAATACTGCAAGTCGGAGTTCTTCAACACAGCGCAATAATGAGAGCAGAATGTGCGCAAGCTTTCCTTCCTGGTCCGCTATGGGTCCCGGCACACAGGCTCTCAAATGACATGTCAAGAAGTTTTCCCAAACAAACGAGATGACTCTTGAAGCCACAACCCTGACATCCTTCAGCTCTGATGCCCCCCAGATGAACCGCCAGGGCACAGCAGTCGTCGCGATCCTCCCAGCCGTCTACGTAGACTGGGCCCTCGAGCTGGGCGAAGAGCCACCTTATGCCAACCGAAGTCATCATGATGGCCGTAACCCTGTCGCTTTGCCATGTCGACTGCTGTGAACCCACGTCACCTACCCGTCTGTGCCTTGTAACGATTCCAAAACAAGTCCGAGAACGATAGAAAAGTTTAGTGTGTTTGTCCAGGTCAACTTTACTCCATTGTCTTGAGAGCCCTTGAAGGCTAAACCGCATGGCAGGATGAGCTGCAGTGGGGGGGAAACCAACCGCACATGCTCGGCCGCGGTGCTTCATGTAGTCTTTGGCTCGGCGGCGCTCGGCACGCGATCCAGAAAAGAGGCAGGTGTGACCCACATACCTTACGTGTCTGCACTGGCAAACGGATGGAGACTTCTAGCACATGGCCACCTGCTACAGGTACTTCGTGATCTTGGCAGTGCAAAGACATGCGGCAGTGCAGTGGTGAAGCTGCTTAGGTAGACTTGTTGTCGCCATGTGTGGCAGACCGCGCAGGGCAAAAGGGGGAGCCATGTGGTTTTCCTGCACCAAGCTGCTGCACGATACATCCTGCAGGGAATCGAAAGGCTTCGGCGAGCTCAGAACAACACGATGGAGATGCGAGAACACGAGAACTCACTTGGGTTCCTCTAGCTCCGGCATGCTCCTGTGAACAGAACATGCCTCCAACAGACTCAACACGGGCAGCTGGTCCTGAAGCACGCTCGAGCTTCTTGCGTGTGCCGCCCTGCTTGCCCAAGGCATAGGAGAGCTCGTCATCCTTCCAAGGTCCGGATTTGACCCCCAAGCAGCAGCCCTCCATCATCCTCAAGGTCTCCGTTGGGCTAAGTGTAGGAGAGAACTCACCCCGTCTCACCGCAAATCTACGTAGAAGCCATGAGCCCTCGAGATGCGGTACACGAACCCGGGCCTGGAACGTCATGGTGTCTGTCGACCACGTGCCTGTGCGAACAAAAGCAGCAGGGATCAGCATGGGTATCTATCGTTCATGGGCCACAAGGGCCAGGAATGCCGAGCTGATGTTTTTTGGCTAAGCACAGGAACCGAAAGGCCCTGGGAGTGCTGGCCGAAAGGGACGAAAGCAGAAGCTTGATTGCGCTTCCGCGTGCTTCTAGCTGTCGCTTTGCTCCCGCGATCACTAGTCGGTGCTGCGGTGGCATTATGAACATCCTTGCGCTGAGCCAAGTGGCCGTCCGGATCTTTGCCCTTGTCACGGTCGATGACCTCATGCTTGATCTTGCTGAGGTAGCCTGAGCGCAGCACGCACGAATACCAACTCCTCAAGGGCAAGGGAAGTCCACGGCAGAGCCCCCAAGTTTATTGAACCTATGATTCCAGAGACCCTGCCTGGACTCTTCGTCTCGATGGCACTCAAAACCTGCGGGATACCGTGCGTGAGGAACAGCAAAACGTTGTGTGTCGCATTGTCGTATCCTTACTGTAGAGGACTTGTGCCAAAGGGACAGGATCAACGGACAGCACAGTTGCCAGCTTTCATTGCGCGGCAGCGGTCAAAAAAAGTGCCCTATTTCGTGCGGCAGCTTCTGAGCAAGTCAGGCGTCCACATGCACTGATCACTGATCAGCTGTGGATCAACCGCAGCATTGCACAGCCTTCAGCTCTGCTCCACGGCGGCCACGGATGTCGCCGAAGATGGCCAGCTTCTCGAAGTCCTGGCGCGGGCAAGTAAGGGTCAAGAGGACAAGGGTCGAGAAGAGACAACGTCCCAAAGCACTGGAGGTCAGCTGCTTCGGCTGTAGCCGGCCAACTGGGGCCTTGTCCCGGCGGCCAGACCCCACTTCGCAGAAGAACATGAGTGTTCCCCACCTCACACAAAAAGCATGCAGACAGGGTTCAGCCTGTTACCAGAGGGGGGGGGACCCTTTTGCGGAATGTCGGAGAAATCATGCTTGACATCGGTTCGTCAACCAAGCAACTCTTCTTCGATGGTGCGCAGGAAGTTGCCCGCTCGACCCGTCACGAAGCCGACCTTCAGCCAGCAGATGAGTAGGAAATCTACGTACACACGGCCGATGTGCGCATGTTGAGGGCCCGAAACTGGAAGCGGAACCGTTGAGAGGGCATGGCCCCACAAAGTCAAGGGGCCGTCTCTTGCGGGACCAAGAGCATGGTCAAGTCATCGTCGTTATACCTGAAAAGGTTGCAAGGGGGTTCAAGGGGGGTATGTGACGCAAGGTTCCAAAACACTCCCCACTACTCCCTAACCCTCCTCCCTTAAGGATCCTATAGTCTAGGATGTGACTCTCTTGATTGCCACCTCGACGAAACCCTCCCAGACAAGTGGCACTCTTCTTCCAGAGTTGCTTTGTGTTCCACAAGCCATTCCAACACGCCCGCCTTCAAGTTTGCTTAAGCCGATGCAGCCATGGTACTCCTCGGTGATATTTACAGGCCCAGTTCTCTGTGCCATGACTCCCTCACCTCGGATATCGCAGCCATGGTGGGCATCCAGACGCTTGATCCGTGTCTGGCAGGCGCAGGCTGCTCTGTGCTGTTCTGCCTCACCCTGCTTGTGGACACTGCAGCCATCCGAAAAGCTTGATAAAGTAAGAAGTTGACATCATCATATCCCATTATCCTTGATTCCCTTACCAGTAAGAACATGTAAGGATATGTGCAGCATGCCGCAATACTTCTTCGCCCGGCGCCGCTGAATCTTCGAGCCCCGGATCTCCTCGGATCCAAAATGAGAAGACATGGCTGCGCTGAGCCCTTTCCTGTTAGCTGGGAAGAAGGCTTTGGGTTCAGGGCCCCCCTGGTGTATTTGCACTCTTGGATTAGGAGCTTCAACGGTGCGACATGGCGAAGCATGAGGGGCCCGTGCACCTCTTCGCCACATCATGCACAAAACATAGCACATCTTCACGCGTGAATCGAAAGACGCCCGTGTGCAAGTTTCACGCTGCTCCTCATGTCTTGACTTCTGCCCATCAAAGCAGCTAATTCCGTGTGTCAAGCGGCCAAAATAAGATCTCGCTCGAAGAGCTCAATGTCGGCACCCGAGACACGGGCGATTCTTAGGCCAGAGATCAGATCAGCAAGCGAATGAGTGGCTCAGAAAGAGTCGAATATGCTCGGTCTAAGAAGTCTCCATACCTCCCATGCCAAGCATCTTTTCCTTGGTCTTGCCACCCTTACCAAGGATGAAGGCTGCGTCGTCATCTGTGATCTTCAAGGTGTCTACCTGAGCACACGACTCTACCAAGGATGAAGAGAAAGGGATGCAAACGAGTCCCAGACACTCACCAATGTCGACAATTGATTGAGATGTCCTTCAAAGACAAAGCTAAATGGCTCTTATGCTGTTCAGCCAGGATGCTCCATAGTCTTCTGGCTTTTTTTCTCTGGCAGCCTGCGGACAAACACGTGCGCCAGTGAACACCATCGTGCGATCTAGCTGCTCTCAGGTCAGCCAGGAGCATGAGCTGTGAGCCGCTATTTTCAAGCTGGCAGGGCCTACCTGGCAGGGCTTTCATCTGGCCGCTTGAATTTCTACGTACGTGCCGCAGACTATGCCTGGCAGATGCTCCGCACTTGCGGTTCATTTCACAGCAGCCAAGCAGCCGGGACTTCATGCCTCGTAGCGATTAACAGGAAGCCTTCAGAACATGCTTTGTTCCACGAGCCGATTTGAACTGCTCAGGAAGATCATGAAGAGCACGGCTTCATCGCCCGCCAGGTGCCGCGGCTCTGCAATGCAGTCGCCTGTCTGCATGGTATTTGACTGCTGTCATGAGCCATCACCACACCACCACGTCGGCTGAGTTCTTGTTCACCGCGGCTGCTTTCGTACGGCACCAGGTGCTTCCTCGAAGCGGCCGAGATCCTCTCCATACAGTAGCACTGATGGTACCATACCGCCAGGGACTCTCCACATACAGGGCAGTCCAGTGGGCGCATCACCCGGGTGAACGCTTTCTCAGGTGTACCGCCATCTCGACGTGTGCTGAGCAAGGGAAGTGGTCCAGCAGCACCAGCCGACAGACATCATGAGTCTGCAGCAGGGTTTCCTGAGGAGGCACTTCAAGCTGTGCCCACTACCGTGACAATGCAATGGAGTGCTCCACGTATGTTTACATGCACATCTGAAACTCATCATGCAGCTCATAGGGTTCTGGCAGTTCAAGGCCCCTGCACGCATGCAAGTCGCCCAACCAAAACCAGGGGTGATGATAGCTCTGATAGCAGCAGCTTCTTTCTCAAGACAAGCGTCTAAGTTAGAGCGCAAGGCTTGTGGATTGCAGGATACGTAGAGCACGTGATCATAGCCTCACAAAGAGGGCTGGAGGTCAGACGTTGCACATGCCGGGGGGCGAGCAGATTGAGTGAACTCTTCTGCAAACGTCACGATTCTCAAATCGAGTCGAACAAAACGTCCGCGCGGCCTGCCACAGCCTCGAGGGTTACCGAATCCAGCCCAGCTCGCGGTGGGTCGACCACCTGCTAAACCGGCAAGGTAGCTTTTGCATTGAATCATGGCCAAATCTGCCCTGTTCTGTCGACTTACTTCCGCTTGTGCTCGAACACCCCCAACTAGAAAGCAGTAGAGGGACTTGAGGGGCAAAACTCCCAGTGTCTTGGGCTGTTTCGTTGCAGGTTGTTCCGCAACATAGCGGCGTAGCCGTAGCTGTCGCGAACCAAAGTAACTGGACTTAAGTAGACGTTGTGGGCGTGCCAATCATCCGGGCCTTCCGTGAAAAACCCGTAAAATATGGCAAGATCAGAACCCAGATGAACCCAGCATGGCAAATAAATTTCGAAGATTTCCGGCCATGCAACTGCAGGAATGACTGCATTTGTGGGGCCCTCCAAAGCGCCCCGGACCACGCGAAAACTTTGGAGGCCCAAGGCGCCGTGCACCCGAAGCTGAGCTGAAGAGGCCTCGATCCCGCCATGCCACGAAGACAGGGTTGTTTGCTGTTTAGGGCTTAGGGGCACTCGAAAAATACTTGAGAATTAACTAAGATCATATACCACAGTACTAGGGAGGAGGTTAACTCACATCTTTGCGTGTGAAGTCACATCTTCCCAGTGACACGCGGCTGCGAGCGAAGTCACATCACCCCGCGAAAAGTCGCATCACAGAGACATGTTTTGAAGCCTTTCCCCCAGTGTGCACGCGCCGCACGCGCATGTTCTCGACACACATGCAAAATACGCATTTGTCACCGCACGCCTGGGAGGGGAGCACATTTCTGTCGGCACAAAGACAGCAATTGATGCCTTTCTGCAAGTGCACGCGCGACATGCACATGCTCCCGACACACAAGCAAAGTACGCATTTGGCACTACACGCTCGAAAGAGAAGCGCTTGTTGTCTGCAAGGTCTATATGTGGGTACTGACCGTATGTGCTTCTGCGCGAGTCCCGCGCGAGCCGTTGCAAGGGCCGCGCGTCCATGGGTTGAAGGGGGCGGCTTTCCGTGCAGCAGTAGCCCTCAATGAAACTAAAGTTAACTAAAGCACTCTGCAGAGAGACAACAAGAACAACCATATTGTGGCAATCAACTGACAGCACCTTACCTTTGGAAAACCTGCCTGGCTCAGGGTTTGTGGGCTCGGAGCTTAAGTTTAGAAAGTGGCGAGCTCGTTTGAGCTGTTGTCGTGGAAGGCTGCACGCCAGGAACTTTGCCCTTAAAGATGAGGGGTGTTGTCGTGAATGAGATTTCTGCTTGGTGGCGCAAGTGGGTTCTGACCAATCTTGGAATTTGCGAATCCCCAGTGTGCACGCGCCCGAGATACGACTTCACACAAGAAGATACGACTTAACCTGCCCCCTAGTATGAATATAACAATAGAATCAGAATATCCTGCTTACATAGCATGAGATTCGGCCTCCAACTCAGAAAGTCACACAGGATAACTCAAGTCGTAGCACGTCGTAGCACGCTCTCGCTTGGCGAGGGGCGGGGCGTGGGCACTACGCAGCTCATAGCCACGACGACGAAGCACCCTTCTGCAGAAGTCCTGAGATGCAAGGCCCCCGCACAAATAAGATGAAGTAGCAGCCAAAAGAAACAGCTGCCTCTGTGCCAGCGATATCCAATTGCCACCCAAATTCTTCGGAGGGCGCCCTCATGACGGTTACGTTGTTCAGGCCATTGGCTGCCACGTTATGCCTGAGGGCTTAATGGAATAATCAACAAATCCGAGAACGAAGACATAGCTACTTCGTTGAAACGGAGCATCATTACCAAGGGGCTGTGCGGCAGTCACCAAGTGCCGGTTGATCCTCTGCAGTTCATATTGCCCTGACTGCTTTCATCTAGGCATTTTTGCACACGGGTCTCCGCAATTGTGCGAACAAGGATCTCCACAGCCAAGACATGCCGGAAGAGGGGCGCGAGAACCAGCGTATGGCTCCCGGCACCACAGTACAGTTCCAGCAAGTCCTTCCAACGATGCTTCTAGGTGAACCTCTGCATCTGCCCAAAGATAGATATATAGATACATACATATACATACATATACATACATATACATACATATGCATACATATACATACATATACATACATATGCATACATATACATACATATACATACATATGCATACATATACATACATATACATACATATACATACATATACATACATATACATACATATACATACATATACATACATATACATACATATACATACATATACATACATATACATACATATACATACATATACATACATGTGTGTATGCATATGTCATGTAACCAACATGTGCAGCGGAAAGCAAGGCTCCGTCGTACCACCAAGCTCGGTTCGGACAATGTCAGCAAGCCACTCTGCCGTGGCAATTGCCTCGTGTGGATTCGTCCACTCGAGCAGAAGGCTTTACTGGGATAGCATGCTTGACTCCGGAAACAGAAACACCCACTGGGGCTGGCGCGATGTGTGGGTTAGGATTTGAGAACTGCCCGAAAGGCTGGCGATAGCCTTCAGTAATGGCGGATGATTAGCTCAGTTGACGTCGGTACTAGTACGAGAATGCAGTTCCTGAGCAAAACTCAACCCTTTGATAAACGGCAAGTTCCAAGCATCAACCCATCAGGTGCATATTCACATACAGCAAGGGCAGCGAGTGGCTCGTTGGACATGTCTCCAAATGTGCCAAGATGCGTAGAGCTCCTCGACCAGGAATCTCCAGCACTTCGTCAACAAAGTCGCGGCCTGCGGTATTTGGCTGCTCGTTTCGGGTTTGGGGGCTTGGGTCTCTTAGTCTTCTGAGGCAATGCTAGCCTTGCCATCCCGCCTTCTGGGCAGCAACGTGATGCGCCTTTTGCCGAGGCCATCGTGGCCACCTCGCACGCAACAAGGTCAGGATTTGCCAGGCACCGCTTCCTCCACACATTTTGCACCTGTGAAATGTTCCCTTATGTTGGAGTTGGTAGGAGGACACAAATCGCGCACTTGTAGACTGTAGAAGAAGTCAGTGGCCAAGCTTGATCTTGGCAATCTTGCAGGGCTCAAGGAGGTGCTTTCAAATCGCCAGTGCGCACGTCATAGTAAAAAATGATGATGCTACCGACACGGATTGCGGTTGGCAAGTGGCAATGCAGGAACCCTCTGTCATCTCAGCAGTTGAACTGGAGTAGAACGTAGATGAATGCAGTGACACGTGTGGACAGCCCCCCTTCCCAAAGATCTCAAGGCATGACCAGCATGACGGTTTGCTTCTGCTTCGGAGCCTCGGCGGTCTGTCCCACAGCAGAGAGCGCCTCTGCCAAACCTTGGACCCCATAACTCTGTCTTTCTTCTTCGGCCGCTGCATCGATGTGAGAGCTCTCGGACAATGTGCAACCATGCGGAAATCAGCCTGCCGCACTCACTACGCAACCCAGCAAAGTGGCTTGCGCGTAGTTCGTCCAGTGGACATCCTCCGCATGGTTTCGCTTGAGACTTGCAGCGGGTGACTGCCGAGATCTTGGGCGAGTGACAGTGCTCATTTCAGCTTGAGGATCTGGAGTCGCGATAGTCAAGGAATGGAACTAGCAACCAGCAAGAATCAGCATGAACGAGTTGATTGTTTGTATTGTGACAGGCACATCAGAGATCGGCCATCCAAAGTTGAGCTGCTCATTAAACTCACTCAAGAGCCAATCAATGAGCCCCTCTCTACTTCACTCACATCGCAGTGAACCACTCACAGCAACCACATGGTCCGTTCTCAACATGATGGTCCCATTTTTGGGTGCCGTTAAATACTAGGGGCTGCCTTAAACCAGTCCCATTTGACCCTAATCTTGAGAATCCCCCACATAGCAGCGCAAGGTTGGGCCTTCCAGGGGGGCGGCTTCGGGGCCGTACACGAAACCTGGAAGGAGACGCTGCTGTTCAGGAATTCCAGCACCAGTGTGGAACCCTAAACTAACAAACCCTAAGCCCACCCTAGAACCTACCCTAAACCCCTAAATCTGAGAAGGAGCTTACAATATCTGCTATGCATCCAGCTTCTGGTACGGTAACTTACGGAAATCAAGGGTCAAAAGCGCCGAAGGGGCACGCCAGCCCGCTCGCATAAGGAGGAGCTTCCATGGCAACAAACCCAAAGGTCCCAGCAATTCTCTCTAGAACGCTTGGGACTCTGGAGTACTGCCTGGCTCTTTTTGTGTGTCCAAGTACTGTCGGCTCTATGGGAGCCTGTGACCCTTAATGGGAAACACCATCTTTGCCCCAAGAGCTGCCAGGCAGCAAACCAGTAGCTGAGGAGGACTTCCGCCAAGCGTGCCATGGAACTTTACCTGGGGCTTCGAATTACTTAACGTCAAAAAAGGAAAATGGCCTGGGCCTTCTTCTCTCTGAGTGTGCTCGAAAGCCTCGCCAAATAAACTCTCAGACCCTAAACCCTAAAACCTAGACCCTTTAAACTTTAGGGTTTAGGGTAGTGGGTTTAGGGACCCCCCGGCCGAGGTGCGCAGCGCAGGCCGCGCAGCATCTCGCCGAGCTCGGAGCTGTCCGGGTGGGGTCGCACAGGGGTTTGGGAGTTGTTTAGGAATTAGGGTTTAGGGTTTAGGGTTTAGGGTTTAGGGTCTGGGGTTCAGGGTTTAGGGTTTAGGGTCTAGGGTTTACGGTTTAGGGTTTAGGGTTTATGGGGTGCTGGAGCGGAAAGACTCGAAACCATGTGAGCATTTGTTGGCAGTGGCAGGCCTTCCCAGCAGTTCCGCGATGGCCGGCAGTGCCGCAGAGATCTGGGGAAGCAACGTCTCCTGCGTTTAGCACAGGGCAAAGGCAAGCAACTGCTTGGACAGTCAAAGGTTGACAGCATGAGGTGTGTGCTGAAGATCTGTTGTGCTGGCTCCTTGCTGATATTAGCCTCAAGTGTCATGCTCCGGTCACCATCCGGCACGTACCTGCCAAATGTCGAAGCAATCTGGAGTCGTTTGCTGCGAATGGTACGAGCATGTGCAAACAATTGTTGAATTTCCTTCTCCTTTAACACCGCTGCAGAGCGCATCTGCACTGCGACACCATCCGGCCTGAAAAGGCCCGCCCCGTCTGACCCCTCTGAAGGACTGGCACCCACCTGGGCGGCTCTTCTCACGTCGAAAGCTGTTGCACAGCGACTGTTGGCCTAAAAACCCTCGTACCTTTCTGCTCCAAGGGCTGAGTCCATTCCTCTGCAATGGATTTAGGTTGAGCGGTGGCCATCAAAGAACCCAACAAACTCCTCCAGCTTCACCCAAGACACCGAGACGATGGTCCTCTCATATATGCTTCTGAAGCTCATGAGCACGTGAGGCATTCTGAAGCAAATTCAGCAAAACTCCCCTACTAGATCGTCTGCAGTCCTGGCTCGAAAATGCTCACGAGGCGACTCCCGGATCTCCTCGTGACGCTCAATTGGGCTTGGGGCTGGCGAGGACTAAATCTCACTTGATCACGCTTCTGTCATTCCTGGGGGTGATGCATGAAACAGCTTCACACAGCAGTCGTCACGCACAGCACAACAGGAAAGACAACCCGTTTGTTGAGGCTCCAGGGTCTCCAGTGCAGCAGCCAGATTGCCGGCGCCTGCACAGAAACGTGCAGGCGCGCGTACGCATTCGGGATGTCCCCTGCAATCGCAGCTTCTAGCCAGTGACTCGAACCCTCCATCACTTCAAAGCCAGGAACTCGCGGCATCCAGTTCAGACATGTCAGAACTAGTGCATCGAGGAGCTTCTGGGATGTTTTCATTCGGATGCATGGCGTGGCCAGATACTCTCCACAGTAGCCCTTTTCAAACTTTTTGGGAGGTCTTATTATCATGACAAAGGGACTGATGAAGTTATCCACGTGCACCGCCTGTCAATGTCTTTCAGGGTGCCTTCCTTGCACCACACCACCCTCGGCCTCGCAACGGTGCCAGTAGCTCGTGCCTCGATCCATGGCAGACTGCATCACCTATGACTTCTCACGAACTCTCATGAGCTCCGCGGATGAGACTGGGCGCCCTGCACAGCGTCTGTCTTCCGGTGCAGCTCGTCATCACCGCGGCGAACTGAAGCCAAAGCCTCCTGAAAAATCTTACTCGACAAGCAGACGACGTCTGACAGGATCTGCACCAATTCTCGCTCCTCCGTTGACCAAAGGCCTGCGGAGCCTGCCAAAGTCTCGGGGGTCTCATGTGGGAGTCTCAATGATGTGGTGGATGGGTCATGGATAACTCTACCATTGCGTGCGAACTGCACCATACAAGAAGCTCAATCCTCACGCATTGAATCCTGTTCAACAGAACCGGTTACAGGCATGTTGCCGGATGACGCCGCCCCTCGTGCGTGGTCGTGTGCTCTTTCCTGAGGCATCGCCAGGCCGCCAGGACAAGTGATGCATGATGCAAGCGTCACCGCTCCTAACAATCACCAAAGTTCGTGCTTGAGAACTCCGAAGCGCAACCCTCAAAGCTTCTCGGCTTCTCACTTTGTCACAAAGCTGAAGCCACGTGCCCATGGCGAGCAAATGCCAGCAAATGCGAGCAAAGCCACGTATGCTCGCCGCAGGCGGTCCTCGGCCCCGGCGTAGCCGCTGGGAATCCTGCGGTCGGCGTCCTTCGGTGTCTCTGCCACAGCCTTGTTGACTGTTACGAGATGTACTTGGAGGATCGAGGCACTTAGTAAGTAGGGATAAAAGTACCTCAATTAAGCTCAGGAGTAATCATAACAATCCGAAAGAGACTGCAAAACACGTTCTTGCTGCCCAAAATCAGTCTGCACTGGCGGGTCACAGTCGTCGAAGCGGCCGAAGATGATACGGTTGTGCGGCGAGATCTGAGAGTCGAACGTCCGGAGGGCAACGCGGCATTGCGGGGCAACCCGACCCATCTCTGCAAGGATCATGGCCGCACCTAAGCCCGGAGCCCTGAACCTCCCTGAGGGAGCCGCACTAAGCTTTCACGAGCTCAAAAGGAAACCTTGACAGGTGCATCCGAGAAGCGGAAGTCCACACCCATGGCTGCAGCAGCTGCTTGAATACTTCCGTCCGGATCTTTCGGGCAGCAGGGGCAAACCGCGAAAGCGGTTCTCCGCACCAGGCAGCAGTCCACAATCTCTCGTGCCAAGTGCTGACACGCGTGGCAAGCCACGACCAGCCTCTGGACTGGTAGAATTCGGCTTCAAATTGTGGGGGTGGGTCGGGTTTATGGTGCTGGGATTCTAGGGTTTTGGGTTTAGGGAGCCGAGCAACATTCTACTTGCGAGCCAGGCACACGCTGTCTGGAGTTTGGACGGCCTCAGGCAGTGCCTGCGGGCTCAATGAATCTTTCATGGACAGACTTCGCCGAAGTAATATTTCCGACGCAAAGATGAGGATGTGCTGGACTTACAGCGACCTGACATCCATACATATATATATATATATACATATGTATATATATATATATACAAGTGTATATATAGAATATATATATATATATATACATATAACAGTTGGATGCTTATTGATGCCCTTGTAGCTTCGCTTCCAATGATTCATTCTCACTACAGCCAAATTTCACCCCTGGCGCTCCGGGCAACACGTGCTTCGCTGAGTCCCCCTTCCCTGCCTGACGTAGCGGCCGCTCGTCGTAGGCCACGGCGGAGGGCCCCAGGTACTCAGACCAGGCCGCACCTTGGAATTTTGCAGAGTTCGCGGCATGCTTTCTGGGTTGGAGGGGCTCTTGGGGGGTGGTTTCTGGTTGGGGCCTCCCTGGGCTCATTCATTGAGGCTTTGAGGGTAGTAGAGTGTTGGGTTCCAGGTTCAGCGGCCCAGGAGCTTTCCGGCTTGGGGAAGTTTAGGGTTTGCTCGAGTCGGGTGGCGGAGCAGATCGTGCGAAGGAGGCTTCGACTGATCGATGATCACCGCACGCTGGGCGATTCCGTGCGCTACGAACAGCATCCCGAGCGCACCATGACCGCCGCAAACATCCACCACCTTGCCAGTGGCGAATCCGAAAAGATGATCTGGTGCGTCCCACCCAGACTACTTCATGTATCTACCTAACACTGTGTGTGTGAGTTGTAAATTGGTTGGGGATTTATTACACGTTTCGTGTTCTTATTTAGTGTAGACTTCATGGAAGCACGGAAGACTCTAAGCTCCAGACCGTCCCAGGGTCACATCGACGGGCATCTTTGCGCACCGCGTCATAAAACGCGCAGGCCTCCTGGCGAGACTTCTTGCTGGCTTCCGCAGCTCGACCGTTGCTAAAAAGGCTACGCCAAAGAATCAACCGGAAACATCCTTCATTTCTTTCCCATGGATGGCCCGGCCATGAGCCAAGAAGGAGCGCCAGAGCTTGCTGCGCAGGCTCTCCTGGTAGGTTTCGGGCCATTTTTGTTGAGGCACCACCCCTTCCCCTTGAGTTCCCGTTGTCTCCAGGCCTTGGGGTGCTCCGGTACTTCTGACGCGCAGTCTGTCATGTCCGGCAACGGGCAGATGCTGGGCTGAATTGGGCACACTGACGAACACTGCAGCACTAGCGATATGGGTGTGCTTGCACTGATGGGGTGATGACGAGCTTCTAGCAGAGTAGGCTTGGGCCAAAATGGTCCATGACAGTCGCGCATAGTCTTGCTACAGCACCCATGACAGTTTAGCTCACGTCTCAGAGGACCTTTGCATGGATTGCCCAAGCCACCCAGAGTCGCAAAATTCACAGCAAAATCGGATGCCTGGCTTCCGCTTCGACTGCGGCTTCGGGCGCCATCGCGCCTTGCAACTGCCATGAGCATGTCACCACAGCGTCAGCTCAGGGATGACCTGCTCATTCTAACTGGCTAGAAGTTTGTCCTTCATAATTACGCCCAGTTCTTGGCTCTATGAAGTAGAATAGACTAGAAGTCTGGCAAGTTCCATAAACGATGAGTCTGTCATTATGGCATTTTGATACTCTCAAATGTTATATGTACGCTTGCAGCCCACGTCTAACTTGCAAGGACCAGCAGGAAGCAAGGCTAGAAGTGCTATCGCTCGTGCCGTGATCGGGGTTAAGGCGCACATCAAACACCGAAACGGTATGCAAGGAGTGTGAAGTCGAGTTTAGTGCTGCAATATGCTTCGGGCACGATCAAAGATGTGAGTCGTGACCCTAATTTCATCTGACATTCGAGACCCAAAAAAGGCCTGCGGCTATCCTTCCGCTCGTCCCGGCGCTCTCGGCTATCCCTGGCAACGGAATACACTGTTGTACACTGTTCCACATCTGCCGACTGCAGCTCAAAATTGGGACGAGAAAGGGGTGAGAAGAGAGCAGGGTCTCGCCTCCTGCGGCTGCGACTCCGGCTTCGATCGCCCATTGACCTCAGGGCCGCCAGTCAAGATGTTTTTGCAGCGCACAGGTGTAAATAGCACACAGGGGTCCATGGAATGCCCCCCCAAGACCTCTGACCGAAGCTAAACCCTAAGCACAGATTGCTCCCAGGCCTGCCTCAGTGACGTTCAGCAGCCTCCCAAAGTCAAAGCGAGACATTTGCTGCTTTGCTTGGGGTACACTGACGCGACGCAGGCGCTGCCCAGATTGGGCTTCCCAAATTGGAGTGCCCTATCACATCTTCAAAGAATACCCCTAAATTGGGATAAAACACCCAGGAGGCAGCTCAAGGTGCTAGAGCTCCGGGCATTTCGCTAGGTGCACTGTCCTGAATCCTGAACCGCCCTTCTCAGCCCTTATCCCCTACAGTTGCCCTGCCTGCAGGTCTGGAGGAAGTCATCCCTTGCTTGGACCTCCCTCCAAGCCAACAGCTGCGGCGAAGGCCAAGTTACATCAAGTTCCCGTAAACCGGAGTTTAGGGTTTAGGGTTGAGGGTTGAGGGTTTAGGGTTTAGGGTTTAGGGTTCAGGGTTTAGGGTTTAGGGTTTGTTTAGGGTCTCAGGAGCACCCAAGATTGCTGTTGTTGCGAAGTGGAAATAACAGGACGTGGAGTGAGCTGCGCCGTCCTGAGTGCTGGGCAATCAATCGCGGCAAGGCTGCTTGACGAGCCACACTAGACTAAAATCAGGAACCGCTTGCACCTGTAGATGCAAGTGTGCCAATGATTGCTACGTGTGTACTATGGTGCACTTGTGGGGCTGCGTGAGAAGGACCTTCTAGTGGCTGCTGCGAGAGTGTGGCAAGCTCGAGCAGCTGGCTGCGAGATTTCGGTGGACCTGTTCACAGGCGCGACGACTGCGCTGGTGGATGAATTTGCAACCTTAAGCAACCCTTCTGTGTCCATGATCTCGTCAAAGGCGACGCGCGAGTTCGGGTGCAAGTTGTTGAAGGCATAAAGCCTGCACAAGGCCCGCGGCAGCACTCTGTTGAAACAGATTCGAGGCTTTCGGAATTTCGCATGCTTGCTCGTAAATGTGCCCGCCTCTCCAAGTGCGCGTCTCGATGTGCGCCTAGGCGAGATGCCGCATGCTTTCACCGAAGCAGATGTGTTTACTTTGTTGGCACCAACAATGCTGGCTTCACGTACAACACATGAACTGTATGCTGACAACTCGCACCTCCACTTCAGCATAAATGCGTATGTTTCTGGGACTGCAGCTGCGCATGTAGGGCGACAGGGCTCGGAGGAGGTCTGCCAGCTCCTCACGCGATACGGACCTTGGCTTAAAGGCAAATTATTGCGCTTTCGGCTCGGAAATCCTGCCTGGTCCGAGGAATTCTACGTCGCAACTCGCCTGCATGCCGTGCATGGAGGGAGGCGCGCACCCCTCTTGCTCTTCGTCGTACATCATGAAAGCGAATCTGACCTGCTCTGAGCACGGCACACTGTAGTGCAACTGCTTCACAGTCTTTAATCACCGTAAGGAACCGGTCGTACTATTTAGCAATACAGCGACCGTGCAGCATGGTTTGGGGGGACTGTGCTGCTGCTTGAACTGAGCCACAATCCAAACCAAGTATCTGAGGTGTTTTTCGAACATAAATTCAAAATGCATCACACCGTTCGCATGGTATGTGTGCTGGCACAACTCGTTGGGTCCAATGAGGGAGCGCGCAAACTCTGATCACCTGCTATCTGGCTTCCGTCCACAACGTGCCCGCAAAACTGGAGTTTCAATATGGCACCGCACCTTTTTGAAATTCTCTCTGCCCTACGTTTAACGTTTCTATCTTGCCAGTACACAATCCCAACATCTCGCAATCCCAGAATCTGCACAACACCTGTAATTAGTGGAGGGGTTTGTCGGCTTGCTTCTCCCAAAGAATCATGTACAAAAAAAAGCTTGTGGAAGGGGCATGAAGGGGCTGAAGACATGCACCCAGGCATTAGAGAAAGCTTTGGCCTTCTCCTCCAGCCCCGACTTCGCGAACCTGCGCAGGCCATCAATGCATTGTGTGCACAGAAGGTAGGCCGAAGACGAGACGGATTGCACCGCAAAGCTCCGTAAAGATTGCCAATGCCAGAACTTCGGGAGATGGAGGGAGAGGAAGTGGAAGTGAAGCACAAACGGCAAATGGGCAGCCTGCCAGTTTGTTGCAGATTTTCAAGCCAAGCCTGGACTGTCGGCATGGGCCGTCCAAAGAGCACCCTAAAGCAAAAGCCCAAGCATCTCGGCAGAGAAGCGAAGCTGATGTAGCTGATCATCTGGGGGTCGTTCAAAATTCGAGTCCCTTTGTGGGACTGTTCAAGCTGTTGAGAAGTAGAACCCGTGGTTTCGACCAACCCCCCGTTTGGCCAACTGCACCCAGTGAGGCCTATGCTTGCAAGATCTGCATGCAAAAAAAGGCTTCCTAAGGAAGCCGCACCGAACCAGTAATTAAAGCAGGAGGCAGCAACAGTCATGGCTGGACAAGCAAAGACTGAGAGGCCTAGCGCAAACAACTGCTGAATCACTCACCAGCTGTGCTGCTGCAGCTATTCTCTGGTCAGCATTCTCGCAGCTACCGCGAAAACGAGAGCTTTAAACACTGAACCGCTCGTGCCCGCTCTAGCAGCAACAACCTCGCAGGTTCGTGGGTCAGTGTGGCCCGCGAGCCTTCGTGGAAAAAGTGACGAAGGCGAGCTCTCATCGCGGTTGGCAGCCCACAAACCCGAAGGCGTGAAACGACTGGCAACGAGCGGATTTCTTTAAACGAGCCACGGCCCCAGGCATGCAGAGTGAGCGACACACTCCTGATGCCCTTCCAGGCCCACCCGGAAAGTTTCCCTCTAAAGAGGGCAAAGTGGCAATGAAGCGCAGAAGCTCCTCCTTTGAGGAGGGCACTATGCTTTCAGAAATGGGAGAAACCCGGCCTGCATCACAGCTGCTTCGGTCTGTTTTCTTGTCGGTCATTGCATGATCATCTGCTACAAGAAGTCCGCTTGCCCGCGTTGGCTCACATCCCGGCTACTGACTTCGTCTCAGTAACATAACTGTAACTTGAAGTAACTTGAGTTCTTCACTTTGAAAATCATGGTTGCATCGTGCAAACCGAATAAGCTGCTCAGCTCCTACGAGTTCAGCATTGGCTAATTATCTAGTCATTTCTCTCTAACATGAACCTCTCTAACATTAAACCTTGCATGTGTGTCTGCACCCTATTGCTGTTGTACCCAAATTTGACTTACCTGATCGGCCATCCATCAACTGCTGGACAGTGTGCAAAAGCAATACACTGGTGGCGGGAGTCGTCGACTCACAGCTGCAGGCACGGGATTCGAGATATGCAAGTCTAAGCCGCCACCTATGAAGCAGATCGCAGCCCAGAATCCGAGACTAAGGGCCTAAAGTGATGAGACGTTTGGATTCTGGGTCTGCGCTGCTGGTTGCTGGGAAGGCTTTGGCTTCTCTACACAGGTGTCCAGCGGGATGACGTTCACCTCATGAAGAGCACAATGAGGACATGGATGTTACATGGATTTGTGTCTGATTTTATTGGGTTCGGACTTTGGGGTTGCACGCATCTGCATGCCTCCATCGCTGTGTTGACCAGGTTCTTCAAGGAAATGTCGCTCTCCAACTTCATGACGGGGAGCTCGGCACTGTCCTTGCCCAAGGCCCCCAGAACCAGCTGGCACGAGTAGCAACTCGATTCTCAGTGGATGCTAGAGTGCCTAAGTGCCTATAGATTCAAGTCGAGAAACGGTTATCGGAGAGTGCGGGGAAGCTGCCGACGGCGATGCAAACGTGCTGCCTGCGCGTTCACATGTGCGTGCGTGTGGCATCCCATGCATCGTGAAACCGAATTCTTTCAAACAATGCCAAGCATGTCACAAGCTTCCCTTGAAGTACACCGGTTTATTGACACTGCCGTATCTGCATCTGGGCGGCCACTGTTGTTGCTGTTGGAGCCGCTGCTTGTACGGTGTGACAGGACAGTGTACACAGCCGCGTGCCCTGAGCAAGGCTGAGCAAGGCTGAGCAAGGCAGCGGATGCATCGACTTTCGCTCAACTACCGAAGGCCCGACTCCCTGCATGATGCGATTCACGCTCTCCCGACAGGTCTTTCAACTCCCAACAGCTCCCAAGGGCAGCTCTCTCTTCTCAGCTTGGGCGTTGCTCTGCTGTGCTCCGGTGGTTCGAGTGGTGTGAAAAGCCAGGCGGCTAGACAACTCGAGCGGCGTGTGGCCTCGATTGTTGCGGACCTGCAGGCTTTGCAGGTGCTTTGCGACACGACTCTTCGGATTGTCGTCGGACACCTGCCGGCATCCTACTCACGCTGCCTGCGGATCTGCACCGGCATCCAAAAGATAGTCCAAGAGAGCGTCGCCTCCGAACCTGAGGCCATGGCACAAACTGCAGGGTAATGCAAGCCAGCACTGTAAAAAACATGTTGGCTAAACCTTCCAGCATATTTTTGAGCACGAACCGTCCGAGCTGAACAGACAAGTCACAACGCTGCGTAGCCAAGCGGTGTGGTGCTCCCCTCTCCCAACACTCTTACAATGCCGGGTGTTTCCTGCGCTTGTCAGAAGAGGAAGAGAAAGAGAAAGAGAAAGAGAAAGAGAAAGAGAAAGAGAAAGAGAAAGAGAAAGAGAAAGAGAAAGGGAAAGGGAAAGAGAAAGAGAAAGAGAAAGAGAAAGAGAAAGAGAAAGAGAAAGAGAAAGAGAAAGAGAAAGAGAAAGAGAAAGAGAAAGAGAAAGAGAAAGAGAAAGAGAAAGAGAAAGAGAGAGAGAGCGATGCAAAGTTCATGCTATCATAAGAACCCATGCTATTCAAAAAAGTACAAACTGGATGTTAAACATTTTACATTACATAAAATCTGTATGTGTATATATACATATATATGTATACTTCATCCATTTATTGTTTGAGTTTTTCTTTTCTCTTTGATGAGGAGAAGTCCTTTCGCATCCGCATCGCCGCACGACAGGCGAGCTCCACTGCTCGAAAGGCCGGCCCGACCTTGTCAGGATCGGCAAGCTTGGGTCTCCCAAACTTGGCTATGCGGGTTCAGGGTTGAGGGTTTGAGGGTTTGAGGGCTGCGGGTGTAGGGTTTGGGGTTTGGGGTTTCAGATTTAGGGTTTCGGGTTCAGGGTTGAGGGTTTAGGGTTTAGGTCTCGGACATTTGGGTGGTGTACCCAACAAGGAATTTGCCCGGTTCATGGAGGCGGGCCTTCGCCTTGGCGTCGATTTCAGCCCTGGCTTCAATCAGCATTTGCGCCACCGTCCTGGTGAGACTTTCTTGGGAAACTGTGACCATATGGGATCTGTAATGATAAAAAAAGTATATATATATATATATGTATGTATACACGGTACCCCCCCCAAGATCCACCCTTTTTTGCTGTGTAAGATAGGATATTATGCCTAGAATTAGAGTAGAATATTCAAGTAACCCGGAACCATCTGATTATTTTTGGTTTCAGGATTTTAAGGTGCAAACACATGATCGTATACTTGAGCGAGGCAGTGGCATAAATTTTAGGTAAATGCGGACAAGGCCCTCTGAATCTTAAATCCGCATGTAACAATTTAAGCTAAATGCAGTCAAGCCCCAGGAACAAGAACCAAGATGCTCAGGACTGTTGATTGTTGGTTCTTGGTTCCTGGGGTCTGCCCGCATTTAGCTTAAATTTTTGAATGCAGGTTTAAATGCAGCCAAACTCCAGGAACGAAGAACCAAGAACCAAGATGCTCAGGACTCTTGATTCTTGGTTCTTGGTTCATGGGGTCTGCTTGCACTTAACTTAACTTGTTAAATGCAGTTTTAAATGCAGCTAAGCCTCAGGAACCCAGAACCAAGAATCAAGAGTTCTGAGCATCTTGGTTCTTGGTTCTTGGTTCCTGGAGTCTGCCTGCATTTAACTTTAATTGTTCAATGCAAGTTCAACTGCCACACTCTTTCGACCACCGACTCACTCACTCATTGCTTACAAGCATTAAGTTTGCTTATAAACAGGGGGTAGGGGGGGAGGGGCAAGGGGAAGGGTACCAGGGGTCTCCCACATAGTTAGGACCCCTGAATACTCCCTCGCCCTCCCCTTCCCTCTCCACCGCGGGCTTATTCTCTAAACCCCTAATGGCTACGGGCTTAGGGTTTTAAAAGAGAAGCCCCGAAACCTTTTCGTGTTAAGCAATTAAACCCAAACCCATAATTTAACTTTTGAACCCTATATGGTGAAGGTTTAAAGGTTTAGGGTTTAATATTTAGGCATTTAAACATAAGTCGGCAACTAAACCTAAACATTCAACCTTTGAACCGTATAGGTTTATGCTGAAAGGTTTCGGGTTTAAGATTTAGGCATTTAAACCTAAGCCCATAGAGTCCAAACCTTAGGGGATTAAGGTTTAGGCATTTAAACCTTAACCCTAAACCCGTCAGGGATTGAACCCTAAAACCTTATAGGCTCCAGAAAGGCTCAAAGGTTTTTAACCCTATAGGAGCTGAACGTATACATGCCCAGACCTTAGGTTTGCAAACCATTAAACCCTATAGAGTTTTCTCATAGGGTTAGCCCTGTAGGGTTTAGACATTAGAGGGTTTACAACTTTAGGGTTTAAGGTTTAGGCATTGCCTATGGGAGTAGAACCTTTAACCCTGAAGGGCTTGAGCTAAACCTTAAATCCACTAGGGTTCTGCCTATGTTTGCAGGCCTTGCCTCCTGTGAAAATGCAAAGATAAAGTAGAATAAGTACCCACATGGCCACATGATGTATGTATGTAGGGTATATGTATTATATATATATATATCAAACACAGACAATCGAGAAGGCATAGGGTGATGCGAACAAATCATTTGCTGCAAGTGCCCGGGACGCGAGAATACTGTGAGCAAATATCTTGTCACTATTCCCTGAGATCTTCCAACAGGCTGCCAATAATTGCTCGCAAGTATCTGGCTGTTCATTCTCAATGTTCAAGACTCACAAGCCCAGATGGTCTTGCATTATACTCGTCCAAGCAACTGGGTATCACATCCTTACTACAAAAGTATTGTTGTTCAGGGTGTTTCAGGCGGTTGTACGTAGAAATGATATAGCATGCTCTGGGAGCTGTGCTGTTATATCTTAATTAATATAGCGAGCGTTTAGGGTTGGGAGTTCAAGGGGTAAGTCAAAAAAGGCTTAAATACTTTACGGCTGCCTTTTTGTTTTTCAGAGTGCTTCATGTGGCTGTGCGTCTCCTAAGAATAAGTGATATGGTATAGCATGCTACGGGAACTGTGCTGCTATATCTTAATATAGCGAGGGTTTAGGGTTTTTAGTTGAAGGGGTACGTAAGCCAATATAGCGAGGGTTTAGGGTTTTGAGTTGAAGGGGTACGTAAGCCAGAAGGTTTTGTGTAGATACTTTACTGGTATATAACATGCTACGGGAGCTGTGTTGTCCATTGCAAGTCTCTAAAACGGTTTAGCTTTGGGGGCGGGGGGGGGGGGGAAGCATATATCTATATATATATATATATATACATATATATATATACATACATATACATTTTTCTACATACAGATACAGATATAGATATGGATTTAGATTTAAATTTAGATACAGACATAGACATAGATATAGATACAGATAGGGATACAGATACAGATACAGATATAGACATAGATATTTGTCCCACACGTGTCGCCATGTTGAAAGAGCTATGTGTGCCAAGATGCAGAGAATGCGGGTTCCCGTGCGAGTGAATGGCTGCGGAGTGAAGCGGAGTCAGGCCGATCCCACCTCTTTCAAAGAGGCCATAGGAGATGTGGAGATGTGGGGAGTTTTCGATAATGGGGGTACCTTCCTAGGGGTCCTTTCTAAGGGGGATTCTACTATCTTTGGGGGTAAATGGGGCACCCCTATATTATAGGAAACCACCATGTGACAGGAGAGGTTTTTGAACGCAATCTAGGGGTGCCAGCGAACAGCCTTCAGAGACTGTTTCGATCTCTTGCTGTGAACTAGCTGCAACTCGCCTCTGCTCTGATGAGCACAGAGCCCAAACTAATTGGCCCCCGGGAATTCCGAACACAAGCTTGACCCTGTGGATTCTCCGTGGGGGTGATCAACCGAGCTCCGCCAGAAAGGTAGCAACGAAGGCAGCAACAAGGCCTTTTCTGAGGTTCACATCGCCACGGACTTCCAGGAGCTTCGCGATCACGCTGGGATCAGGACAGCGGAGACAGGCCTAGCAAAAGTGGACAGCGGGAGCGTCGTGTTGTGAACGGTTGCGGAGCATGCGGAGCTGCTAGACTCTGTTAGACTACGGGTTGGCGCCACGTGGTCAAGATCTGTCCGAGCTGCCAGGGTCAAGGGAGTTGCCATGGTCAATGGCTTCATCTGATTTACGTCAGCTCGGAACTGTACCTGGCCAGAGCTTCATAAAGCTTCGGTGCTCTGCTTTTTTGAGGCAACCCGGTCCCAAGCAGTTCTGAAGCCAGGTGGCAAGCAGCTCCACTGCACGAGGGCTCTCCTGAGCTTGACCCTCTTCGAATCGCAGCTGAGCGCTTCTTGAAAACGATGACTTGCAGTGACTTGACTCACGCAGCGTCATGCAAAGAAGAGCCTGAGCTTCTTTTGCCCTGAGCTCTGAAAGAGGCTGTCAAGTGCAAGCAAGGCTCGCAGGTCCCGAGAATCGGATGCCCCAGCTTGTTTACTTGGTTCGGATCGACTCCTTAATGCTTGATGGAACTTGCTCGGAACGCAAGGTGCTTGCATGCCAAAATCTTCCTTGGGCATGTCAATGACGCTTCTATCAAAGCTTCTTGCTCAACTTGCTTAACTTACTGTGGGCTCCTAGCAGACTGTTTGCAACATCCACTTCCGGAAACGTGCCGATTTGGAAACTCAACCGAGACGGCACAATCAATCTCGGGCATGCATGGGGTTTAACGGACCCGTTTCACACAAGAGAGAGAGGGTGAGAGTGAGAGAGAGAGCCACACAAACTGGTAGGTTCTCTCCGAGTGTTTACTTCTCCGCGGCCCAGGTTGCTCAGCTCCAGCAGCGCTGCCACCGCCTCGGCGCCCTCGTCGCTGCGCACCGCAGCGAGGTGGAGTGGCGTCCAGTCCTCCCACACATCTGGAGACGCTTGGGTTCCGATTCTCGAGAACTTAATGCCTTCGGGAGCTTGGAAAAGGCAGGCTGCGAATTCTGCGCGCCTTGAGGCTGTGCACTTCAAGCTTCGAGAGATGAGAAGTCCAGCATTTTCCCCCGGAGTTCAAGCTTTTTCCCGAAGTGCTTCCGCAACTCTAATGCTCTAAATTCCTGGAGCACAAACTCTGCCGTCTGTCCGGAAGCAGATCGAGCTCTGAGATCTCGCGCAGCTTTGTGTTCATTGGAGCACCAGCCTATGCCCAGCTGACGCTTAAACATGAAGCCAAAACTAAAACGGCTTGAAGTACGAGCGCATCGAGGTGTGTGGGCATGACGCTTGAGCGCGTCATCAATGGACGGAAGTTGTTCCAACTGACCCTCTTTGGTACCCTAAGCTATAGGAACATACTCTGTAAGACGAGAGTGGCGACCTGCCAAGGGATCCTGAATCCTAGCTTGGAGCAAACAACGGAGCGACCTCTGCAAGCTGATGAAGCAAGCCCACATCTCCGCTTAAGGCGGCGCAGGCCATCGCCTCATTGTAATTAAACATGGAGATCACGTTGCATGAAGACTTGGATATAGATTTTTAGTTTTGTTCTTTGCTTTCCTCTCTTTTTTTTTTTGGGGGGGGGTCTAATTAAACATGTATGACGAAATTTGAACAACTAGATACATACATATATACATGTATGCATATATACATACACATATATATATATACATATACATATACATATACATATACATATATATATATATATACATATACATATACATATACATATACATATACATACACATATAACATATACACATATACACATATACACATATACACATATACATATATACACATATAGACATATACATGTATACATATACACATATACACATATACATGTATACATATACACATATACACATATACACATATACATGTATACAGATATAGATATACACATATATACATATATGCATATATGCATATATACATATACATACATACATACATACATACATACATACATACATACAGACAGACAGACATACATACATACATACATACATACATATCTACATATCTACATATCTACATATCTACATTTATACATATATGCATATATGCATATATGAATATGCATGTACACATATCCATATACATAGTTTTCATGTTATGCAGAAATACCTATACACATGGCAGAACTATAAACTATCCTACTTTTCCAATATTACATATACATATATGTATATATGCCACTGCTACATGGGGACGCGTGCAGCGGCCTTTTTGGTTTGGGGGCCTGGTTCTGGGGGCATCTTGACACCATGCTGGGGACAGCCAAGACCCAACAGCGCCTGCAAGAAACCGTGCGCACCACACCACGGATTGCGCGGTTTGTGTGCAGGATTTTGTGCAAGTGTTCTGCGCGTCTCGGTCTGTCTTCTTGGCATGAGCGCTTTGTGCTTGGGATGCTTGGTTTCAGTCGCTGGCATTTGGGCTTCGCCTGCTCTCGTCTCTAGAACCTGTGATGCTGCTCACAGTTATAAAAGCCTGGGAAGCACCAATCACCACTTCCGGCACAGCCCACCTCACCAAGTGCACTTTGGTAGCTGCAGGCCAAGGCACCCCCATGCCCTTCTTCTGTTTGAGCGCAGCCTCCCAAGGCTTCAAACGCTCGTGGCAATATGCAAAAAGCTGTGGCCGGATGAACATGGCTGCCAGACTGCGTTCTGCGTTCTGCGTTCTGCTTGGGCTGCATTCTGTGAGACACGGCCTGTTGAACCCCCAGTGAAGACATGTGGCGCCTCCATGGATGGAAAGCGGAAGTAGCTCAGAAACTCCGGAAGGCTCCTGGTAAGCTTGTTTGTCTGCGGTCACCGGAACCCGAACAACATGGCCAAACCACCTAGCTGTGCATGGAGAGACTCAGGAATAGCAAAGGGGGCCGACTGTGAGCAAGTCTCAGCGCGAGCCTTGATTTCTTCGGCAAGCCCAGGAAGTCTGTATATCTTGCAGCGAAGTAGCGATAGATGTCCTGGACAAAAAGGGGATAAGTAAGTTTGAGAGGCCCTCGAATGTCTGTGAGTCTGTGAGCATCACATCACGCCGCTGCAAATGGCTCAGGCCCCGTGAAACATGACACTGCTTGTAGAATGAGGCTTGCACACTGGACATGCCCAAACAAGCTGGAGGCTTCCAGGAGCGATGCTTAGGCCGAGGGTCCAAATCCTTGTGTCTTGACAGCCTTTCCAGCTTGAAATCCAATGCCTGCTGGATGAACTTGCACACGGCCTGGGCTGGAGTCTGCAAGCTGGAAATCCCCGCGTCTGTAACATCAGGCAGTCAAGCGGCCAGACGATCACTGTCCAAGGAGAAAGCGCCCTGCAAGGGTAGCTCTGTTTTCAGAAACCGCAACTGTTCTCGACATTTCTCGACTCCCCTGCTTGATCCAAGCGCCTGAATGCTGCCGAAAAGAAAGCAGACACGTGCTACCCAGATTGACAGACATGAGACACGAGACCCGGAACACGAGAGAAGACACCAGGCATGACACGAGACGCCACACCAGACACGGCACGAGATATGACACGAGACATACGAGAGATGAGACTCCTGGAGACATCTGTGACATGACGCAAGACTCACGGGACACAACATGAAACCAGACCACCTTGCATTATACCCAAGACACGAGACGAGTCGACAAAACATGCAGTTTCGAAAGAGGGTCCGAGGGCCATACCAGTGAGTTTCCCCACGCAAATCGGAAACAAGGAGCGAAACGTGACTTCCAGAAGCACCGGAAGCTCCAGCACAGTCGAAGGACAATTCATGGGCGACATTGTACGAACACACGCGAACGCTTGCGAACACTTGCGAGCACAGATGAAGACGCTTCGATGTTGGGTAGCTGATTCACTTTGTCCCGTTCTTGCATCCACTTTGTGCTTTCGCTACTCTCCCCATTTCAGGCGAATTCCCGCGAACAACATCATCAGTCACCACTGTTTATGACTTCATGTTCTCTCAAAGTTCACTTGAACCACTAACTTGTCAGATACCTATCTTTATTTTTCATTCGCGAGCTCCTTCGACTAGAAAGTTACGCCAAGGACCCAAAGCTTCAACACGGTAAACCCTTCCAGATCCTTCAAAACACCTTCGGGAGGAACTTGAAAAAATAAACGTGCTTGACATCTTCCGGGATGGACCTGATGGACAGGAGACTTCAGCCACTGCATCGGCATAGCAAACTCCACCTGATCTATCGAGGAGATAACCTCAGACTCGGGTTGCGTCGGGTCTGCGTTCTCTTTGCTGAGGCTTAGTGGAGAGCCCTTGCAATAAAAAAGAGGGTGGTGCAACATACTTGCAGGGCAGGCAGCCACGATGGGTATGTCGGACCTGTCCGAAAGAAGCTTACACCACATCTCTGCACGGCACCAGCCCCTGTTCCTTGGCTCGTTGATTGTCCCAGGGCCGATGCAAAGACACCCCTGCCCTCAAACCTGAAGAAGTGGCCGTCGTACATGATGTTTGCATTTCGACATCTGCCCAAGCAAACCCGTCCAGATGCCAAGCTTCAGCCAGGTGAAGTAGCTGCAAAACTCATGCGTCTGGTTGTGCATCATCTTCGGCACCAGGGCTGCAAAGATCCTCAGCCGCTTCAGGCCCCCCAAGCCAATGCGCACACAGCTTATAAAGAGACAGCGAGCCAGCGAGACAGGGAGCACGGGTGTACCGCCTGACTGGCGGGGGGGGGGGGCGGGGACATGGCATGGACCCTTGGACACATGGAGGTTCAGGTAACAGGATTTGAGGTAGAAGGGCTTGTTAAAGTAGCACATGCAATCTGAGGCAATTGTGTTAGGGACCATCTTGGCAAAAAACAAAAAAGCAAGGCCGCAAAGTCCGCCCTCACGTTCATGGATCCTAGCCTGCTTTCCTTTCTGGGGGCGGGCATAGGGGGCGGGGGACTAGCCCAACAAAATCGGTCTGGGTGTATCGAGGGGTGGTGTGGGTGCGAACTTCTGTCCTAACAAGATCTTGTCGGGGCAATGGAAACACAGTCGTCCATGCACCCCACCTGTGAAGACTAAGAACCGAGAGGGTTGCAGGCGAGCTGCTGGCACGCTTCCACGTAGGCTGGGATAGAGCGGATGCACAGGCCTTTTCGGAAGGGACGGTGGATGAGAGTATCTCATCAGCTTCCAAGACAGAAAGCAAAGACTGGCATGCCCAACAAGACCAGGCGACCAGCTTCTTCCGCGACTTGCTTGCGAGCTGTTGGGTCGGTTTCAAACGCTGCTTGTGGGACGCAGAACCAATCCATCCACAGGTATGCCTAAGTGGGAAGACATGGGAGCAGGATAGCGGCGTAGCCTGAAACTTCTAATCCTCCTTTGACAGATGACGCCCTGGCACGTGCAAGCGATGATCAGCCATGGAGCATCGTTTAATCTGTTCCGGAGCTCGGCTGACAGTGTCTTCATGTGGCCAAAGAACTGCGAGGTTGCATCCTCGGTGTGCCACTGGGGTCTCGATCCACGAGCAACTTCAACGGTAGCTTCAATGATATGAAAGACGCCGGGGTCTCGTCATAGATTCGATAGATGCACTCGCCCCAAGGCTTCGAAGGGGCTCCGGGCGGCTCTTCGGGCAACAGCGCTGGGTTGAAACCTACACGGGCCTTGGCAAAGTATTATCTGGTTGGACGTGTCTTCTTCGACCGACTTCTCATCTTTGTAGCTCTACTTTCTGTTTGGCCTTGGCCTGTAGATAAGTAGTGTGCAAGAAACACACTCAAGATGACGACAGCATGGCCCTCCCGCGTCTTTGACCCTTAGGCACGGCCAAGCATCCAATTCTAGCTTGATCGTGCCATTAATGACGTTCTTCAGCGCTTTCTGGAAGATGCGAAGCTGCATCCCAGCATGATCCGGATGAGTGTCTCAGTCGAATTCTCACATTGCAGTAAGCCAAAGGGTTGAAAGGAATAAAAACAAAACAGCGTCACGGTACTGGCTGCCGCAACTTACGTGGATGAACAGCGGGGTTTACCCGACAGCTGCAGCTTCTCCTTGAACGCCAAGACGCTGCCCAACCACTGATGCGAGACCTCAACCATAAAACAGCTTGGGTCAAGGACTTGGTTCGTCTCCGAAACTGAGAGGACGGCATTGCCACCCGCAGCCCAAACCGCATTTGAACAGCTGAGGCGATGGCAAAGATGGTAAGGAGGCCTGGCTGGTGCTTGACGAGCAAGTTCTCTTGCCGGAGCTGTTGGTGACCTTCTTTCTTGCGTAGGGTACAACATTGAGGCTTGAGAAGCAGGCTGCCTTGACATCAACTTTCTGCGCACTCGAACATGAACCTGCACAAGCCCATGACTGACATGCGAAGCACTGAATGCCCGGCATTTCGGGATTCCCCGCATCAGCAGCACGTCGCTCACCTTCCTTGCAGGAACAGGTGCTTTGCTAGATGGCCATACAACCCAGCTCAGCGCTTCCACACAAACATGCTGAGGGCAGAAGATTCTCTCAGGAGGTCCACCGCCGACTTTTTTGCACAGTTTTGCCACCATAAGCGCGCCGGGGATTTAGACAGCATCTTCTTTGCACATGAGACTAGGCCGCTCGCATGAAAAACTGACCGGGTGCTCTTGCGACCGGGGCGCACGACCCACATGTTCGCAAGCTGCTGATGCAAACCCTGGTCATCCTCCGCCACTGCCTTCGCTTCAAACATGAATAGGCAAGACATGGCAGGACTGAAGGCAAAGGAAGACTGTGTTAGAGCAAGTTGCACGCGAAGAAAGACAGCAAGCCCCCATGGCTGTGCACGACCCAAGGTGGCGATCGCTCCCCTTCGGGGAGGAAAAAATACCCCGGAACCCGGCTATTGGCGATGCAAGATGTGGTTGGGCGCAAAATCCCCATTCTCAGGACAATGTTAAGAAGAGGGCAGGCGTGAGGCCACTCATGTAGTCCACCATCCGCAGTATCTCTTAGACTGGAAAAACTCTAATGACAGCTCCTCTGCAGTGCTCATGGCTCATGCTGCTTCATCTGAGAAAAAGCAGGCAGGGCACAGGCTTCCATCAATGTGTCTCGATCATGTGAGCTGCCACTTCCCGCTACTCCTGCATTCTTGGACTTCTCAGACACCAGCCTAGCTATCTTCTTTTCTGCCACGAGCAGCTCCAGACCCAACCGATCCAAATCGTCAAGCAGGGGCTGCAGCGACCGCCGCCGCCCTCACAAGGTGTGGGGGGTACTTCAATTCGAGAGGTACTTAAGCTTCCGCTGTCAAAACTCAGCGAAGTTGTTGGATTCATCTTACTTCTTGGATTCTGAGGTGCCGGGCCTGCGAGCCCGCATGCGAACAGGACCTTGCAGGCAAGCTATAGCAAGCTTTCGCCAGGAGCCCCAAAGGCACGTTCTCTCCGAGACTGGCAGTCTTGTCAAGCTGTATATGTATTGTTGTAACGTAAATACATAGGTATGTATACATACATATATATATATACATTCTATGGGGCCCAAACGCACGCTATGAGCAACTGATGCCGTAAAATGTGTTGACCTCGAAAAGGAGCAAGGACATAGCGCTGAGTGGATGTCCAAGTCCCGGAACGACCACGCCGACCACACCAAGCCTGCCCGGAACCCACTGCCGCCGAGCAGCGCTGTCGTAAAGAACCACGTCGCCGCGACCTTTCAAAAGTCACCGCCGCCAAAGCCACAAGAGAAGGTGCACCCCAAACCCCAAACCCTAAACCCTAAACCTTAAACCCAGGTTGCTACAAAGCATCAGCTAGCGTTGCCCAGTCGTTGCCCTACACGAGCTATACGAGCTCCGAAACATGGCCGGATCGTTCGCCAACTATCCTACTTCTAGCATGTGGACTTGTGTCAACTATGCATTATTATGACATTCAATAGATATACACACTACTTGTGTAGTATATATTATAGAACTTATATATGTACACGTTTATGGGTTTATATTTATTTATGTATGTTATACCATCTGTTGTCAATTAAATATTTGGTGTGATATGTTGTAATCTACATGATATTAAATAGAAATAGAAGTAGGAATAGAAAAAGAAAGAGAAATAAACATAGAAATAGAAATAGAGATAGAAATAGAAATAGAAATAGAAATAGAAATGGAAAACACACATATATATATATATACACATCTGCATATACAGATACGCATACGCATCCGTATACTCGTACACGTATACGTATACGTGTACACATATAACACATACAGAGAGAGAGGGTGGGCATCTTTTTTCCTCTCCTTTGAATCCCCTGCCTTGGTCGGCTTGGCGCTGCTCTTCGAGGAGCGACAGAGCAAGTTGCCAGCGATGGCTTCGGCCACATACACTCGCCAAGGAGCTGTAGGTGATCCTCAGATTCAGGCGCCTCCAAGCCCCAGAATAGTAGAGTCCTAGAAGAGCAACCGACATCACCATCCTAAGTCCTGAGCTTTCTCCGATGTCCTGAACCCCTGAACCCTAAAGTCCCTAGAGCCTCTGTCCCTGCCCGAGCTGCCGGTTGCCTTGCATGCATCGCTGCGGGAGCTCGGCAGCCAAGGCCAGTGCCAAACGCCAGTGCCCTGAAGGCACCAAGGAGGTTAGGACCTTGCCGGGAAAAGAAAATATTGGGGGGGGGGGGGGTCCGAAATTAGGGGTGCTTTGTTGGGTCCTTAATCTAAGGGGATCCTACTATTTTGGGGGTCTATTTTTGGGGTCCCCTATTCTCGTAAACCCCCCATATCTGAGTTCCGTCTCAACAAAAAATCGCAAGCAGCACAAGGCTGTTGAGCTGCGGCCAAGAATGGAAGCTTCATAGGTGCTCGGGCTGCTGCTCATCCAAGCAGCTGCTCGACACGAAGACACAAGGGTTTAGGGTTTAGGGTTAGGGCCTAGGGCTTAATTAGGGTTCAGGGTTTAGGGCTTAGGGTTTAGGGTTTAGGGTTTAGGGTTTAGGGTTTAGGGTCTAGGTCTCGCTCTAGAACGCCTTTTGATTTCTGACTTCGGTGGTTGTGACCTTGTTGGGTGCTCGTTGCGGCAAAGTGGTTTGTCAGGGAAGGACGATGGCAAACTGGACCCGTCGGACCGAGCATCCCCGCCTGTATGCCAACCATTTAGAGGCCTTGAACTACGACGAACGAAAAGGTGGGAAAGCCTTTTGAGGTCAAAAGCATCCCGCTACATCCCGACACAATGATAGCAGGAAGCCCTTCCAGTCGCAGACGCTTGGTGCGGCATTCTGTGCTCGAACTTTGGCACGGTTTGAGTCGCGTTTGGGGCAGACGTAAAGTGCCCCAAAACCCCCAGCAATCAAATCCCGAAAGCTCAGATGCTTCCCACTGAAAGCAGCCTTGGCACAGCATTGTAGGAAAGCAAATCCGGCTGCTGCTGTTTGCAGAGGCTCTTGAAGATGTGGAGTGCCACTTGCCAGGCCTAGGAGCATCTGCACTCTGTGAGGTTGAGGGTTTTGTGCGAGAGTTTCGGGGCTTGGGCCACTCACTCGCTAAACCTTCATGCAAGGCACGTCGCTGGAGCAAGCACTGAGGATGGTGTTGAACGTGATGAGGTCCTAAGCAGGCTTCGGCAGACGAGCCAAGAAATGACGGGATAGGGCCGGACACACAGCGCTTGACAAAACTACTGTAGCTTGGGCAGCGCGATGCCGCGCGATTTCCACGATGTAGCTGACAGCCGAAGAGCACACAAAAGCAGGCCGACAAAGGCAGCCCAATCGTGCGGCAGAGTGGCTGCAAGTGTGTCGTGCATGTCTTCATAGAGCTGCAGCGTCTGGCGCGCATGAAGTGAAGTCACGAAGTCAAGATCTCTTGACGGCAGGATGCATGACACTCGGCAGGCCTGCTGCCATTTCTCAGCATTACCACAGGCAGCTATGGATGAGTTGATGGTGATGGCCTGCCACTCTGAGCAAGAACGAAAAATTCGCTTGTCACCCCTGGTGCAGTTGTATGTTTGGGTCCATGGGAAGACAACTCGATGCAACTAGGGCACGTTGGTGCGAGTTTGTGTTCGGAGGAGTTCCTGCAACAGCGTGAGCAGGAGGGGGGAAGGAGCGGGGAAATCCAGCTCCCAAGCCTAGGGCCCAACCATGTAAGGTCAGCTTTAGGGTTTACAAGGAAGACAGATGCTCAGCGCTAAGCCCTAAAAGCCATTTTTGCCTTAAACCACGCCCTTATTCCCTCAACGGCCCTGGCTTTAGGCTACTTGGGGCTTATCTGCCCTTGTGCTCTCGTTGTGGTGGGTTTAGGGTCCCTATACCCCAGGGCCTGAAGCCTTAAACCCTAAACCCTATCGTTGGAGTACTGGGAGACCCAGGCATGCACAATTTCTTAGCCAGAGAGAGAGATTGATGTCTTACGCCGTGCCCTCTTCGACCTGACTCCCTCCCTCCCCAGAGACTCCACTATCCCTTAATTTAATTAAGGAATATACCTTAAATTATAGTAGGATCCTTAATACGATTTAAGGTATATTCCTTACTGAAGGGATATTGGAGTCTTTAGGGTCCCTGCACCTGCATGCTGTCTAGGCAGCTTTGCCAGAGCGCCAGACTTCCCGAGGCGGCAATGCGCGCGTTGCAGGGAGCAACCTGACCACTGGCACTTCTTGAGTCGGAGCCCTGAGGCCGGGGCCAGAGAAGTCTTGCAGGCAAAGCAGCATATGACCGGCACACCTCAGCGATGCGGGCCGATGCCTCGCGGCAGACATAGCACAAGTCATGCAGACACGCGCTTAGAAAGCACAGCTGGGCTTCATGTGCCCTAAACTGATGGGATATCTCTCTTGGCCAGGCTCTCGGCGTTGCTAATGAGCCGCTACTGGAAGACCTGCAAGCTGAACTAGAAGTTGCCTGCCACTGGCGAGCCGCCCCGATGCCCTCGGCCAGACATGTTCAGAAGTCATGCATCCTTACTGTAGGGAATCGCTGCGGGCCCGTCTGGAAGGCTGTTTTCTGTTTGGGGGCACGCCTATGCCGCAGTTCATGGCAAGGGTGGTCGCAAGCACTTGGAGTTCATGCGATTTCCAGAAATGGAATGAAGCACTTCAGGAACGATGCTGACAGCTCCTAAAGTCAACACTGGCCACTTGGCCTACTATTCTGATCTATTCTGCAGAAGTGATCGGGTCTCTGACACGGTCCCATCACCCCTCCCCGGAGCACCGCAACGATGCACGTGATGGAAACGACGGTGGCCTGCCTCAGATGCAAAGCTGGTCTGAGGCCTTTCTATACCGATGAGGAGCACTCTCTGTACCTTTGGAAGGCGCCTGCTGCTTGCGAGCATTTTGGCATGCGGCAGAGAAGCAAGCTGGCAACCAGAAGATCATCGAAGATTGCCTGGCTTCTCTCAAAACAGCATGGCTCGTGCGTGTTGGGCTCGGGTGCTCAACACCTTCCAGATGCCCTCTGCAGCAGCTTTGCAGCTTTAAGACAACTGGGGCCCGTCGCAAGAGCTCTCCGCCAAGCCAGACATTGCGCGCAGGCAATGGCAGCGTTGTAGGTGATTGCGTTGGCCTCCTTGGCGAAGAATCAGGAAACACCTTTTGAGGATCGTACTTCAAGTCCTGTATGACTTCCAAGGCTCCAAGTGATCCTTCTGAAGAAGCTCAAGCAGGTGGTGAGAACACTGCCAGAGCTTGACCTCACCACACATGTTCAGGGCCATGCTGATGGTCACCACGCTCGGTTGAAAGCTCCCCCGGTCCATCACTATGGACAGTGATTCCTGCCACTGCTTGCTGCTCCCACACGCAGCCAGCAGCGAATTGAATGCAACCTCCTCCGCCTGTAGACCTTGCTTGCGCATGCTGCGGAAGAGGGCAAGCACGGCCATCCACCGCGGAGCACCCTGGCTCATTGTCATAAGGGTATTGTATGTCACCACATCCAGGGACAGCGGCTTTGTTGTCATGCCCTCCGTCAACGTGACACACTGCTGCCAGCCACCATCTCTCACTGCACTGAGGAGCGAGTTACAGGTCTGGATGTTGACCTAGGTCCGAAAAGCGAGCTCTGGAATGCCGTAGGACAAAGAACAAAGTTGCACAATGTGCAAAAACGCTATAAACATGTTGCTGCACAAGTCGAAGGCTACTCCCACTCTGCTGCCAACTATTTCGGATGTCACTTGAAAGGCAATCTGCCAGCGGCTTTCCTTCCCGCATGATGAAAGCAGTCGGTTTGCAGTGATCAGATCGGGGCGAATTCCTGCAGCCGGGGCAAAACACGACCAGAAGCAGTAGTGCCAACTAGTGTGGGACTCGAAGCGTGAGCGCTCCCGGCCTCGGGATGATGCTTCATGGAGGCACAGCGTCTGCCGCCACTGCACTGCAGCCGAACACGCGCCGATAGCCGAGTTGTACACAATCAGGTTCGTTCGTGCGTGCAGCAGCACCTGGCGACACAAAGTTCGAGACTTTGCTGCTTCTGGAAACTGCGAAGGAACCCCAGCTGTGGCTATGTGTGCAAGGCACCGCATGCGAGATCCACATCATGGCACCCGCCCAGCTATTTGCCACGGAAACGCCAGAGCCAGTAGTGACTGCATCCTTAGACCAGAAAGGACTAACAGGCAAACAGCGCTCCTGGTTTGCTGGAACCAAGGGCCAAGAGTGCAACAGACAAGCAGCGGGCAGCATGGTACGGCCGGCAAGATGTTCCAGCAGCGCGCTTCCCCGGCGCCAAGCTTCGCCTTCCCCCAGAGGACTCTATATATAGGACTCCATGGGACTCCGGAGAGCAATCCCCGTGTTGCTTTTGAATAAGACTCAGGAGATGTACACAGTATTGTATGAGACTCGCCTCGCCGACACAGTGCCAGTGCCGAGTTCAAGGACACCAGGCTGACTTGAAGCATCCTGCCTGAGTGTAGACATACGACGACAGGGCCTCCTCTTAAGGGCTCATCTGAGTGGCGAGGGAGTTTCGGAGCTTTGCGCCCCCGCAGAACTGTGGGAAGTGGCAGTGGGTACGGTTCGGGGTATAAACGGCGCCAAGGGCGAAGGCTAAACAGCAAACAGGATCCCCTGACATCTGGCGTATGCTGGGGCTCTTCAGAAAGAGTGTCTCAAGCCAGCCCATCCCCGCCATCGCTTTGGCCTTCGGATTCAAGATTCGAGCTTCTTGGGCGAGTGACTGGAGATATAGTGGGAGCCCATCCCTTACAATTCCACCAAACCTGCACAACATTTCCCCCATGTGCAAGAGAGTCCAATGCAGCAGGCCCCAGCGGCTCATGTGCTCCAGGACAAGGATCCCACACTGCCTGCCAAATTACCCCAGCTATCCGTAGACACCGTAGCCTTGTGAATACCGGAGCCTCATTCATGTCAACATGTGTTCTAAAGTACGAAGTCTTACAAGATCTGGCGAATCAAAACTAATGATGCATCGATGCATGGGTCTTCCTGACATAAGAGGAATCACTGAGGGAAAGAAAGTTCATAGCGACTTCGGGTGAAGTCTCGCAGACGCCAGCCACCCTAGCAGCTGCAACCACTCCTGAAGGAACTCTAACTGCAAGCTCCAGACGCTGCCGCTACAACAGATGGTTTTTATTACTAGCCGTCCTACTACGCGCAACGCCTCCTGTCAGCGAGGGACTGGCGACCGTCTGTTTGCCCCCAGGGGACACAGCGGCACGTTGTACTGCTGTAGGGCCAGCAACCAGGAAAGTGCCCTGGCCATCATCCCTGTTTCAAAAGAGAAGACTGCAAGGAGGGTCAACTTCACGCGGATCCCTTCGATGGAAAAGACAAAACACTTGAGGCAGTCCACCCAAATCAGACGGCCTTCCCTCCCAGCCATGCTACCGCGTGCAACACCCTCTGTCAGCGAGTGACTGGCGACCGCACGCATCGTCTGTCTGCCCCCAGCGGACACCTTGGCACATTGCTCCGCCGTCATTCGCTGTGGCCGCATGCGAGTTGGCCTGAAAGGCATCCAGAAGCTTGTGGGTAGCAAGGCAGCCCCACACCCGGCCAGAGGTGCGCAGAGAGGCAAACAGCGGCTATTGCCTCACCTGGGTAGGGCCAACAATCAGGAAAACGCCCTGGCACTGCTTCATGCAACATCACCTGCAAAACAAGAAGTTCAGGAGGCCAAATTGACAGGAGGCGATGGTGGACGGATTCCCTCAAAAGAACAGAGACACTGAGGAAGATGGAAAAGAGCTTCTCCAACAATGGCGTGAGAGGCACACATTCGGAAAAAAACGCAGCCGGCCTTCCCTCCCAGCCATGCTACCGCGTGCAACACCCTCAAGTCAGCGAGTGACTGGTGACCGCGCGCATCGTCTGTCTGCCCCCAGCGGACACCTTGGCACATTGCTCCGCCGTCATTCGCCGTGGCCGCATACGAGTTGGCCTGAAAGGCATCCAGAAGCTTGTGGGTAGCAAGGCAGCCCCACACCCGGCCAGAGGTGCGCAGAGAGGCAAACAGCGGCTATTGCCTCACCTGGGTAGGGCCAACAATCAGGAAAACGCCCTGGCACTGCTTCATGCAACATCACCTGCAAAACAAGAAGTTCAGGAGGCCAAATTGACAGGAGGCGATGGTGGACGGATTCCCTCAAAAGAACAGAGACACTGAGGAAGATGGAAAAGAGCTTCTCCAACAATGGCGTGAGAGGCACACATTCGGAAAAAAACGCAGCCGGCCTTCCCTCCCAGCCATGCTACCGCGTGCAACACCCTCAAGTCAGCGAGTGACTGGTGACCGCGCGCATCGTCTGTCTGCCCCCAGCGGACACCTTGGCACATTGCTCCGCCGTCATTCGCCGTGGCCGCATACGAGTTGGCCTGAAAGGCATCCAGAAGCTTGTGGGTAGCAAGGCAGCCCCACACCCGGCCAGAGGTGCGCAGAGAGGCAAACAGCGGCTATTGCCTCACCTGGGTAGGGCCAACAACCAGGAAAACGCCCTGGCATTGCTTCATGCAACATCACCTGCAAAACAACACGTTCAGGAGGTCAAATTGACAGGAGGCGATGGTGCACAGATTCACTCGAAAGAACAGAAATACAAGGGAAGATGGAAAAGAGCTTATCTAACAATGGCATGAAAGCCAGGACCGACAAAAACTGCATACAGCACGCAGAGCACTTGATGCTGTCCACAAAAATCAGACGGCCTTCCCTCCCAGCCATGCTACCGCGTGCAACACCCTAAAGTCAGCGAGTGACTGGTGACCGCGCGCATCGTCTGTCTGCCCCCAGCGGACGCCTTGGCGCATTGCTCCGCCGTCATTCGCCATGGCCGCATGCGAGTTGGCCTGAAAGGCATCCAGAAGCTTGTGGGTAGCAAGGCCGCCCCACACGCGGCCAGAGGTGCGGAGAGAGGCAAACAGCGGCTATTGCCTCACCTGGGTAGGGCCAACAACCAGGAAAACGCCCTGGCATTGCTTCATGCAACATCACCTGCAAAACAACACGTTCAGGAGGTCAAATTGACAGGAGGCGATGGTGCACAGATTCACTCGAAAGAACAGAGACACAGAGGAAGATGGAAAAGAGCTTCTCTAACAATGGTATGAGAGCCATTACCGCCAGACTCTGCATACAGCACGCAGAGCACTTGATGCTGTCCACAAAAAACAGACCACCTTCCCCAGCCATGCTACCGCGTGCAACACCCTCTGCCAGCGAGTGACTGGCGACTGCACGCATCGTCTGTCTGCCCCCAGCGGACACCTTGGCACATTGCTCCGCCGTCATTCGCTGTGGCCGCATGCGAGTTGGCCTGAAAGGCATCCAGAAGCTTGTGGGTAGCAAGGCAGCCCCACACCCGGCCAGAGGTGCGCAGAGAGGCAAACAGCGGCTATTGCCTCACCTGGGTAGGGCCAACAACCAGGAAAACGCCCTGGCATTGCTTCATGCAACATCACCTGCAAAACAACACGTTCAGGAGGTCGAATTGACAGGACGCGATGGTGCACAGATTCACTCGAAAGAACAGAGACACAGAGGAAGATGGAAAAGAGCTTCTCTAACAATGGTATGAAAGCCATTACCGCCAGACTCTGCATACAGCACGCAGAGCACTTGATGCAGTCCACAAAAAACAGACCACCTTCCCAAGCCATGCCACCGCGTGCAACACCCTCTGCCAGCGAGTGACTGGCGACTGCACGCATCGTCTGTCTGCCCCCAGTGGACACCTTGGCACATTGCTCCGCCATCATTCGCTGTGGCCGCATGCGAGTTGGCCTGATTCTTTTTGAGCGGACGCCCCGTTACCACATGCGAGTTGGCCTGAAAGGCATCCAGAAGCTTGTGGGCAGCAAGGCAGTCCCACACCCGGCCAAAAGTGCGCAGAGAGGCAAACAGCGGCTATTGCCTTGCCTGGGTGACTGGAGATGCGAAGACCCATCCCAGCTCTGTCCATGTACAGATCTCAAGACACCGCCGAGTCTTTGTAGTAGGCGGCGCAATGTAATGCTCAAGAGACGAGGATGGATTAGACTACAAACACAAAGAGCTTGTGGTTTGTTTTCAGCCCTTCTGGCACCCATAAGGAAGAAGGCGTCGCAACCACGTAGGTCTGTGCGGAAACTTATGCCCAGTGCTGGAAGCAACGGAAATGATATTTGACGGGTTAGCAACATGTTTGATCAGATTCAAGGGCCAGTCACTGGCAATCAGCAAGTAATGCCATACAAAGCGGCCACAATGAGCGGGGCCCACATGCACTGAGCAGAGTGTTCCAGGTGACGACATCCGGCTGCAAGGCGTTCCTGCATGAGAACTTTCTGCAAGCAGCCGCAAGAACTCAAACGTGACGTCCCTACATCTCCCTGCGCCCCCGCTGACACAGAAAATCACAGAAGGCGCCTCTAATGCTGCTAGCTTCAATGTCTTACCTCACACAGTCGGCAACGTCCTGAGAACTTCCGCCACTATGTCAAGAGCAGCTTTCCACATGCTTCTCCGTGAGAGGGCGGTGGCCATGCAGTTGTATGTCATGACCTTCCAGCTCGCAGTCAGCTGATGCAGACAACTACCATGTCAAGAACGAAGTACTTCCAAATCTACAGAGGCTTGATCGAACGTTCGAAGCAGCGATCAGTATGGTCTCTGGGATCACCATGACATGATATGAGCATATATGAGCCATATCAGCACCGTTCCACTTTAGTACAAACCAACTTCTCAACCAGCGCGGCATTGCTCTGGCGTGGCAATGCAGGATGCCAGTGCCTGGGAGAGACCCCACAGCCGTTGCTTTTACGAACTGCATAGCATACTCAGTACAGCCTTCAGATGCTCTCAAGCCTTCGCACTGCAGCCGGGCCACCGAGTGGCCGCGACATCGGACACGGCGAGGTCCTCAGGGGTCACCAGGTTCGCCGCTCGTGTGGCCTGAGCCTGCCACCGCAGCTGACAAAATCTGGTGGGCCCCTAAGGGTTTTCGAGGATTAGCACCCCGACAACTACAGCATCTCTTCGATTATAGGCAAGTACAGCATCTCTTCGATTATAGGCGAAATTTTTTTGGGGTGGGCCCCTGTCGTTTGCGAGAAGGAAGCATGACAACCAGAAGGCGGCAACGTCAAGACAAGATTGGATCTACATTGGTTTTGTCGGATGCTCATACGATTCTCAGGCAGGTCTCATGCGGCCTGCCCCCCAAACTCCATGGCAAGCGCAGGAGAACGTCGCGACTTGGTTGAGCCAGAGTCAAGCGGTAGCAGCGCAGCGAGACCGGCATGCAAGCAAACAAACGACCGCCAGCAAGGTTCCCTTCCTCCGAATCCCCCATACTCTCTGAATGAGCGAGACGGCCCAGCAAATTCAACTTCCCCAGGAACCGGCCTCACTCACGGTGGTCCCACATGAAGCTCCCCCACATGATGAGCCCCCTAGCCCCAGAATATCCCTGGGTGGGGCGCACGTGGAAAGCCCGATCACGAACTGGCGGAGGTCAAGCCTCTTGGGACATTGGAAGGGCGATACTGAGGAAACCATGAGGCGGCTGTTCAAGATGATGGTCCATACTGGGGTCTCAATTAGAATTTATTCGTTGTAGTAATCGATACCAAAGCAGGGCACCCTTCTTTGGAAAAACGTTGATGAAGATATTGCCTTGGCGACGCCCCTCTCTTTCCCTCGGCGCGACCTCTCCCTCGGCTAGACCTCCCGACCCTCTCTGAGGACACCCGCTCGCCCTCGTGCTCGGCATCGAAAGCATCGAAAATCTCCCGGGCGGCCGGGGAAGGCTCCTCAGGTCAGCGCACAGGAAAACGGATTCCGGAAGTAGAGTCCCACAGAAACGACACGCAATCGCAGGAGGCCTCGCCTTCTCAAAGACCTTGCAGAAGGCCTGCAGGCAGGGACGACTCGAGACAGCTGTCGTGCCTTCGTACTGACAGATGGTGATCGCCACTTCGCTAGGCAAGGGCCGTGTCTGCAGTCGGCATGCAAGGCAATTCTGCAGAGGTTTGCGAGGCCTGATACGACATGTAGCCAGAGTCGCTGTCATCCAGGTCTACGAAGCTCTGGTAGATGTGCCGGATGATTTCCTCAGTGCGAGTGTCGACTATTGTCGACGTGCCAGGACAGGTTCTATACTTACTGCAGTTTAGAATGTGAGCCTACCAAGACAGAGCCAGCGCGCCACCTCTCTCGCTCTTCCTTCCTGCCTTCCTTCCTTCCTTCTTTCTTTCTTTCCGCGCACTTAGCCTCCCCCATTGGGGAGGCCGCCCGTGGGCGTGCGTAACAGGTTACAGCGGAGTGACCGAAGCCCCAAAGCCCCCGCGGGAGACTACACGTAAACTCCTTTTACTTCGATCATTGAAGCTCTCTCGCTCTCTCGCTCTCTCTCTCGCGCTCTCTTGTGTCTGTCCAAGGATCCGGTGTGATTCCGCCCTTGACGAGGCTTTTGATGTGCTTGAAGCGTGGGTCTCCGGCCTCCGAAGCCTCCGAAGGGACCCCACGATTATCAGTGGCAACAATAGCATGACCGGTGATATACCATTCATTTGATGGCCCGTAGGGTCGCGGTGAACTGCTCAGTTGCAGCTCCACATGCGGTGCACGAGGGAGCGGAGGGGAGAAAACCCTTTCAGCGCCTTCATGGTGAACCTCTTCTTTTTCTCCGACCGCTGGACTCCCTCGACCATCTCGTCTGTCTCGGCCACATCCTGTAGGTCAAAACTAGGCCGACCGGCTCAATACAAAGCAAGGTGTTGCCATTCAAGCGTATCGTGCCACTACATGGGCTGCGGATCTCTGCAGGCGCAGGTCTAGGGAGGAACAGGAGAGCTGGCAGCTTGCACTGGACATCTCAGAATCTCTGCGCTGTGTCCTCCAGTGCCGGCAGCGGCTCTCCTTCGCCTTCCTCCTGTCTAGGGGCTGTCTTCTGCGCAAACAGGTCAACACGCCACACTTTTCTATTCGTTTATACCAGAGGGCAACGAGAAAAGGCACGAGTTCACGTACATTGACATCCTGGTACTTTGCACACAGCAGAACTCCATTCCGCGACAGGTCATCACCCCGAACATGCGGAGGCCGTGCCGAAGGCGGACATGGCACCCTCTGGCACTCCCTTGAAGCTTCCTCGAGGTCACGCTCGCCGCCGCCACGCCGGTGCAGGTCGAAGTTGCGAAACAGCCTCCGGCATCGCAGGCCCGAAAAGCCCCAAACATGCTCGAAAGTGGGGCCAAGCAACGGAGGCGGATCCACGAAGTACCGTCGGAACTCCGGGAACTCGATCGAGCCGCTGCCATCCTCGGCTTCCAGTGAGGATCGGGTTAGGAAGCTTAGGGTCTGGATGGGATGTTTAGGGAACGAGGGGTTTAAGCAGGATTCTGGTGCCTCATCTCAACTCGGCACCGCCCACAACCGCCAAGTCACTAGCAATGGGATTTCTGGATGCCTCGAACCTGTAGAGACCCGACCGATTCCAGGTCAGGCGGCTGGGTCCATCAAGCGGATCATCTCCTGTTTCGCACAAGAGTTCCCAGAACACCAGTACCTAAATGTGCGCTTCCCATTAACGAATCATCTCTTGCCACTGCTGAATGTACCTAAAGTCCACGCCCCTTTGTGGGCCCAGTAGCCCTGTAGTAGCCCTAGTAGCTAGGAACGAGCCTGGACCTCCGCATCCGTGGGCTCGCTCTCCCCACAGAGCCTGAGGGCCGTCTCAGACAAGAGCTGACCGTTCATACGTTCATTTCATTGACTACTTCTGTGATTACTTTGCAGCCTTACAAGATAATAATTTGAGCGCATATACTAGTTTTCCTGTATTCAGGCGTGCAGAAAAGGATGATTGGTTCACACACCCGTACGATTCTTATTAATACGATTCGTACACCCATTGTGTTCTTTCCACGCGTGCGAATGAACTTTATTATTTGTACGTGCAAGAAGCCCCCTTTGAGTCAAGGTAAAGTAGAGGGGCTTTCGGCTTTTGCCTTGATTTTTGGCTTTCAACAGCCCTCAACGTTTTCCACTCAGAACACAGGATGCTCATGCTGCTTCATTGCCATTGGCCCATTGGCCCATTGGCCCATGCCAAGGAGCTGCAGCGCTCGGCGGATATCCGCAGAGCCGATCTCGCCATGTCTGTCCAAGTCGATGATCTCAAAGGCGACCTCTGAAAAACGGGACATTAAAAGAACGGGGAATTTCGGGGGAAGATCCGTGCCTGCACCACTTGAGAAAGAGTTTTAGTAAACTCATGGAGGCATCTGGGGGCTGACAGCACCACGACCCCTTGCATGCGCGCACTCGTTCATGGGGTTCATGGGTCCAACTCCCAACCCATGAAGAACCTGGAGCTCATCATCATGATACGGCCGGGCTTGTAGACCTGTGCAATGAAACACAGTGCCAACCACTACCTCCGTTCGTGTGCACGCGTGAACTGCCGACCCGAGCGACAGGAAGCACGGCTGCACAGTAAAACAGAACAGCTCTGCACAGGGCTCCCAGAGCTCCCACACCTAAGACTAAAGCCTTGCAAAGAACGCGACTCTCTGGAATCAACAGCCAAGCAATGCAACTGCCTCCGAGCTCCCTAGCTTGGGAGACGGAGCGGACTGCCTGGAATTTCAAAGGCCTTCTTGCTATCCATCTTCGAAGGTGCCTTCGTGACCTGAAGGCATTCTGAATATCTTCTGAAGGCTTTTACTTTCGAGTGGCCAGACACTGCCAGCGCAACTCTTGCGGGATGTTCCCTCTTGGTGGCACTTAGCACCATGCCTTCGACCCTCCGCCGGCCTCACAGGAATGAATACAGGAATGGAAAGGAATGGTGCTTGCTACAGTCGGGCGTGCGTTCACATTCTTGAGGCATGAGGGCGAAGACACCTTACGCAAGCATACATTACTGTAGCCAGTCTGCCTGAATGATTGAGAGAAGAAAGACGTGCGAACTTCATACGCTCATGGAACACCGATCCAGGTCAGTGGAGCTCTCCGAAAATTCGCGCCTGAGTAAACGGACCACCACGGACCACTGTGCTCGGTTGCTTTGCTTTGGGTGCATTCTCGCGAAAACAAAATGCAGTTGTTGTATTTATTGGCGCACCTTCGCTTGGTATCTGCGATTGTCTTGCCTATTGGTGCGTGCGTCTGTTCTTGATGGAAGAATCAATACCGAAGGCTCTTGATGCTGATAAAGATGTCGGCACAAAGCCTTTGATGAAAAAGACACTGCAACCCCCCCCTTCCGTGGACACTTCCACCCGATGTGAAAAGTGCCGATGAGAGAACTGCGACGCCTTTCGACCGACAAGGCTCAACAAAAAAACCACTGCACGCTGAGAGAGTAGGAACTGCAAGCTCAGGAACAGTATCGTATGTCAATGTCAGCATAAGTTGAAGATCCGGAGAGGGGAGGGGGTTCAGGAAAAGGGGGGGGAGGGCGTGACACCTCAAATCCCCCCAAGTTCTATTCAAAACAAAAAGGTTGTAAACAAAAACTCAAGCAAGATCCAAAGGAGCTAGCTTTCGTAACAAGCAAAACTGTGCATAGCCACAGCTCAGGGTTGCAAGCAAAGACTTCAACACGAAAGAAGTATCATGAACTAGCCACGCACTATGCACGGTTTGCCTCTTGCCGTTTGCAGCTCGACACAGCACACATCAATCTCGTTCTGTGGCGGAACATTTTTCGAAAGATGCCTTGTTGCTGGCCGTGGGGCCCATGACTGCCAGCGCCATTGCTGGCAAGCTTGGGAAGGGAGAGGCAGTCTTCACTTGGCTCAGGGCCAAGTCATGTCCACTCCAGGATGTTCCTGTTGACTCTGTTGACTGCCATGGCCTTCGACTTTGGGTCGACTAAAATCTGTGACATGCGGAACAAGCTCGAGCCACTGCTCGTCTGAACCTGTGCTTCTCCATGCCTGCTGTAGATTCAGTTGCTTGTTGGGGGCTCCTTAGAATGGTCTAGCTCAAGCTCGTGGGCTCTAAACCTGAGATTCCAGACTGGTTGTCCGGTACAGCTAGTCGTAGAACAGTACTAGAACTAGAAGTGCTAGCAGTCGGTAGCAGTGGTAGTAGTGGTCATACTGCCAGTAGTGGTATTGTTGGCAGTGGCAGTCATGGTCGTCGTGGTTGATTCAGAGTCCGTGCGTGGCATGCAGAACCTATAGAGGAAAGATGGGAATGCCCTCTGAATGCCCTCTGGGGTCTTGATTTCTCGTTGCACAGGGCACGAACCACAGAAGCTGCTTGATGGGGAAGGTAAGGCGCATGAAGCCCTTCGACCCTTTGAAGCCTGCTGACGGGCAATCCCCATATTTTTCAAGATGCAAGCACTTGCGTGACAAGCAAGCCTTCTTGCTGACACTGCGATGCGCATGGCTACTTCCATCTTAGAGATGAAAAGGATGAAATTGGGATGTCATACTTACCTGTTTGGTCAAAGGCATATCATTCTGTCACTGTGGCATTCTGCGCTTGCTGCGAACGCCGTAACAACTCAGGGTCGCACAACTCACATCGGAATAATGTGTATATATACACTTTTATCTATTGATGCAATTAACATACAGACATGCCCTTGCAACAGAGCGAGACCCTGAGATATGCTCTGCATTCCATTCGGAGTTCCAAGCGCCTCTAAAGTGAAAGCAAGCAGCGCTTCTTGCGCCATTGCTGTTGTTTCGTGAGTGAAACAGTTGTTGGGAAGCAGAAGCAAAAGTACTGGCCTAAGGCTGAATCATCTTGACTCTGCGCCTGTTCTGCCTCTGCTCCTGCTTTCATTGCATACTTTCAATGCATATACAACTACTGGGTGGGAGGAGGGTGCTCTTGAGGGATTGGTGGGTAGTGTCCTGAGAACAGGTTACGGGCATTCTGCGTCAAAGCAGCAGCTGGAACGCCTCAGGCTGCCCGAAGCAAGCCTGCGAGCTGCCTTCGGGCTGGATCTTGAACGGCTCTAAAGCAAACGAACAAACGAACAAACAAACAAGCAAGCAAACACACATGAGTATGTGTAACGTGTGTAGATATATATGTGAATGTTTACATATCTACATATTCAGCATGCATACAAATCTTCTACATGCATACTTAAGTTACACTACACTACACTACATTGCATCACATTACATTGCATTGCATTACATTGCATTACATTTCATTATATTATGTTACATTCACTACATTACGTTACATTACATTACAATACAGTACATTACGTTACATTACATTACATTACACTACATGACATTACATACATTATTTACGTTGCATCGCATAAAAATCACGTTACATCACATCACGGTACATTGCATTGCATGACACGTCATGTCACACACACACACACACACATCTACATAAACACCGGCCCGCGTGTGGGCGGCGTAAGTGAAGCCTTTGTTTCGCCCACCTGTCCGCCGCTCTCCCCAGCCCCCTGCATGCGCCCTCCCGCGGTCCTACGCTTTACAACCAAGTTCCCTGCGCTCTCACCACACTCACCCCATCTCACCCCCCTCCCCTACATGGCACCTCCAAACACCCGGGAGGGCGCGCATCATGAGCATCCACCCCCCCCCCCCCCCCCCCCACCCTCCGCCGGCGCGATCATGAGCATGCTGAGGGGGCCCCCAACCGCATCATGAACATCAGCTTTTGTGCCGGGGGCGTTTCAGCCCACCAGGCGCTCAGCTAAGGTTCTAGTGCTCTAGGGTTTGTAGAGGTTTAGGGAGATAAGGCTCCCAGAATTAGGGTTTCAGGGCTTAGGAATTAGGGTTTCGTTCGGGTCTGCGGTTCAGGGTTTAGGGAGAGAGAGAGAGAGAGAGAGATATATATATATATATATATATTCATACACACACGCGCGCAACCATGTGTATATACGTGCGACTTACGTGTGTATGTAGGTAAATGTCCGAAGCAGCATACCTCGATGCGCAAACCCGTCGAACAGCCCATGAATGTGTAATCTCCTCGGGCTTGCCGATGCTGACAAGCTGCCTTCCAGCATCGCCGAGCTGGGCTAAGGCCTGAAAACAAGCCCATTGCGCTGACGTGACTGATCTGCTTTTGTGGGGGACGGGGGGCGGTAGATAGCGGTAGGGGGTGCTAAGGGGGCGTTTGACAAGACACGGCACAAGCTTCTGGAAGAAGACGTGCGGTCACAAGCGTTCATGTGATGTTCGAACGTGACCAAAACATTGGAATTTAACAGTGTGCCGTATGGCTTCAGACGCTGAAAGTAACAGCATTTCCGCGTGGCTGTGCATCACAAAACCGAACTAGCACCCTGAAACTCGTCGCATGTCGCATGCGCTCTTTGCAAATGGATGCTCTCAAAAAAGATGTGACCTGACAGCATTTTGGGTCGGGCGCTTAACATCCCAAACCGCTGGCCCTTCCAGTGTGCTGTTGACACGAGAACGAAAAGCCGAGGAGGTGCCGTTTTCGTTCGATTAGAATGCGAAACACAACGCTAACAAACGCAACGACGATAACAAAAGTTGGGCCACGCGTCATTGTTTCCCATGGTGCTTGGGCTACTGTCTCTGCCCCAGCCCGATACAACCTCCCCCCCCAAGAATGCCCCAAAAGGAATCTCGAAAGGCAGCCAGTTTCAATTTCGTTGCTGCTCTGACGACGCGCCTCCGGCCCTGCCGCGAGCGGCGTGGCCACGTGCTCGCGGACATAGGTGGCCTGCCCAAAGGCCATGCGAGGGTACCAGAACTGGTAAGTCACTGGTGGCGCCTCCAGATTCACGGGGCAACTGTGGAAGAGTGAGACTTTGGATTATTTCAATGTCAACCTCATGTGGCGCCCGCTCATCGCGAGTCCGCAAACTCTGAATGGACTGGATTCTTCAATGGGACATTCAGTTGGCCAAGGTTGGAGTCACAATGCCCGACGATGCCCAATGCCATCTACGCTATGATACCTGTTCTCTCGACAGGTATGCTTCTCCGCAAGTCAGCTCGGCCATGGGGGTCAGGAGGCATACCACATTCATATTATAAGTGTCTGCAATCCTCGATATTACGGGCAACTCTATGTGCTGCGTGTCAAGAGACGAGCAATCCAACAGCGGGCAGAATCTGCTGTCCTGGAGCACCGTGGGGCAGAGCTCCTCCTCAGCGTGTGGGAATCTAAACTTGAGGACTTTCATGGACTTGCCCCAGGCCCCACACAGAGCCTTCAGCACATCATCTGCTCACATCATGGTCCTGTGACAGTCTGGGCTGAGCTGCGATTTGTGCTGGGGCTCGAGCTCTGGGCTGAGCAGCTCGCTGCGCGTCCGTCAGAGCTCGGAAGGACTGCTCCTGCCGATAACAGCGCAATGGTGCTTTCTGCTGAGGAAGATACATGATCTGCAGCGCTGAGTCGCCATTCCCTAACTTCGGAGATGCTGACAGCAACCCAGATGCACGCCAGATAACCCAGAGCAACCCTGTGTTGCCTTGCAAGTCACTTTGAGAGCGCCCCACATAACTTCCCACCTTCTGTCCGCTGAGGTGCTTGTAGCGAGTCTGCGCATCGTAATCCTGTACATGAGACAACCAGCGCATGGCATTCGGCAAGCGATGCTTTGAAAGAATGACTCCGAGCCCGAGCATCGTGCAGTTGTGTCGCGTCATGTTACGAGTTCAGAGAGAGCGAGCTTCCAGTTCAACAGCCGACAGCACTGCAAGGTCCTTCCAAAAGGAAGCAGCGCCGACGTTGTTTGACATCCAGTATGGACCAATGCACAACCTCAAAGAGAAGGGGCAGCAGAAACCAAATAGCGAACATGGTCTAAGTCTAGAGCAACAAAACGCAAAAAGAACCATCTGGAACCTCCTAATACCGAAACCCGGATGGTCAGGTCTCCACATTGCGATCCCGTTCTTTTGGGGCTTCCTTTTGTTGATACGACGCCTTCGATGTAGATCGCTGCATTTTTGCCTCGTAATGCCCAGGTTCGCCATGGCCCTGGACCCCGAAACCTCTGCAGCGCACGGGTGTCGGGCCATGCTGCGCCGGGCTTCGCCAGCAGCGGCTGGGCGCCGCGCGCAACTGCCTGTCCGATTCTTGAAAGGCTTTTATAACTAGGATTTCTACCGCATCTGGTTGATCCTAGAGCTAGGAAAAACAAGACTGAGCCGGGAACCCGAAAACCAAGCCCATCCCAATCAGAGCACGCCGAACGCGAGTTCGGGAGAATGTTGCTGAGTGAATTGATACTGGGGAAGTCGTGTTGCCCTCCCGTCCCGTCTCCCCTTGTGGGGTCCCGCCGCAGAGCCCCTCCCGTCCCACACCCGTCCCGTGTAGTCCACACCCCGCATTGTCCCCTCGTCCCGTGCCCATCTTGTGTGGCCCCGCCGCCGAAGCTCGCACCCCACAGATTCCCTCCCGTGCAGCGGGCCACCGCCCAGAAACCCAACCCCCCCCCTGCTTGAAACCCTAAACGAGAACCCAACCCCTGAGGACTTTGGGCAAAACAAGCCGACAAAAAACTGTAACCAGGCTCATTCGCTCTTGTTTCTGCCGCGTACTGCAAAGAAGGTTCATCGAGGTAGCCTGCACAGGCAGCTCGCTGTACAAACGAAAGGCCAAAGGCCTCAAGAGAACCAGAAGCAACCCTGACCACCGGGTGGGACAGGGAGGGAGCTTGAGCATTCGGCAACACAAATGTTCTTCGCCTATAGTGGCAGGCTCATTCGCTCTTGTTTCTGCCGCGTACTGCAAAGAAGGTTCATCGAGGTAGCCTGCACAGGCAGCTCGCTGTACAAACGAAAGGCCAAAGGCCTCAAGAGAACCACACCATCCAAGCAGAGCCTTCTAAACCAGAATGCAGCAGAACATCCAGGTGGAGCCAAAGCTCGTCTAGGGTTGCTTCTGAAGAAGAATGCGCCAAGCTTTCTCAGGAATACCAGAACGGTAAAAGAAAGAGACTCGTCGAAGGATAGCAGAAAACTGATCACCAAGCTCCTCTATCAGAGCACGCTGAGATGGCTGCAACGATGGGATAAAAGAGATTGACAGCACTTCCTGCAAGTAGATATCCATGACCCGGGCAGACAACCATCTGCCCCTTCGCCTGACCATGTCGGCATTTTCAGTAGTATGAAGCATCCAAGTTGCACCACCTGGCCTGAAGGAGGCCAAGTCAAAGCATGGCTTGCCCCCTGCCAAAAGTTGCAAACGCTCCAAGATGGCGTTGAGTCTCTTACGCAGGGTACCAGACGACATGTTCCAAAGCGGTGTAGATGGTGACTGGCATCCAAAAGCAAGATCCAAGAGAGCAACCAAGTCTACAGGATCGACACGAGCAGCTTGATGCCTGGCTGAGCGCCCACGTGTTTTAGGGTTCATGATCTGTAGCAAAGCAAACCCAGTGCCAGGAGCAGCATCTCTAGGGAGAACAAGGTTCTTCCTAACTGCTTGAAGAATCTCACCAATACGAAGTAGCCCAGCCCAAGCCAATGCGAATATGGCAGCCTCGCGAAGCCATCCCCAAATCAGCGAGACACTCAGCACAGCCAAAAGGATGCCTTTGGGCATGGCTCGGTGATGCGTCGGGGGCTCCTCGGCCAGCCAAGCAAAGGCCAAGTCCCAGGCGTGACCAAGTGAGCGTCTGATAGCCGGCCGCAATGCCCCAATGGCGTTGACAGTCTCAGAATATTTCCCATACGGGTGCCCAGCCTTGAAAAGCTGCTTCCATAAGCAACCAGAAGCTCAGAGATTTGCTCGACATCAGCACCCGACAGCAAATTGGTTAAGGTAAGTTCAGTTTGCCCGACTAACCAGCTCTCAAAAGCCTGCACCAACTTCAATCTGTTGCTTCGGGTTGAAGGTTGAATGACTCGGTCGGCGATCAAAACAACAGATTCCCGCACAGAGGCTCTCTTGAAGTCAGCAGGCGTCACAGGTACAGGAGTCCCAGGCGCGGGGGAGGCCATGGCAGCATCACAAAGGACTACAACCCTGAACAGACCCTGAAATGAGAAAGAAGACGAGGAGGCAAAGTGAAGAGAGAAGAGGAAGCAAGGCGCGACAAGAGGAAAAGAAAGTGAAGGCTCCGAAAGCGAAAACCAGGAGCCGGAAGTGGAGAAAACACCGACGATTGAGGCCCAGCACAAAAGAGAAGGCCAAACAACACGTCTGAGAGGTCCCTCGCCAGGAAAGCCGAGGGAGGCATCGAACTCAACGAGCTTGCAGCCATCAGATGACCTGAAGTCAGACTGCTTCCCCTGAAAGAAAGAGCAAGAGCCCTGACGTGTCAAGACGACAAGTAAGCTCAATCTCGCCCAGGAAGCAAGTGGGCGCCTCAAACGGAAAGAGCCCAGCCAGTGCACAACCTCGAGGGGCAAAAGGGCGCAAAGGGACTGACCTGCGCTTCTCCTGAGGTCAACACGCCTGGTCGGATCGTCCGCGATATTGAGGCGCGTGGGCGCGAAACCATATGACCAATATAGTCCGAAAGCGAGCTGGAGAGCTGCGATTCTCCACAAGCCAGGCTTCAATGCATACGAAGTGGAGCGGCCCTTTGCAGCAGAGGATTTTGCAACCTGACTGTCAACCAAGACAGTCAAGCGGGAGTCTGGCATAGAAATGGCGGCGTCACGGTTCAGAATGCACAACACAGCAAGTTCAAGGACATTTATGTGGCATTTGTTTTTCCAAGGGACGACCTTGTCGACTTGCCAATTGGCAGAGAGGAGCACATCGTTCACCACCACGGATTCGATCCCAGGTTTTTCGGGAGGCAGAGCAGATGCGCATAGGCTGTCACGAAAGGTCCGAGCAATCTCCATGGCCAAACCTTCACAGTAGACAGCAGAACTCTTGGCGTGTTTCCCCTGCACCGGGGCGTGCGAGTGATCGCCGGAGCACTGTCTGCAAAGCCTGTGAGGGGAAACCCTGAAACCTAAAAACCGGAACTCCTTCTTAAGAGGCGACCCAAACATGCAGCTAGCAAGGTGCCACTCTATGACGCCAGGTAGACTGGCAATGAAGCGCCACCAACTTGTCCAGCACATCTTTGAGCCCCTGGGCTGCTCAAAAATCGCAGGCACCTGAAGCCGCACAGCGAACCAGAAGAAGACCAAGCAACGTTGAGCGAGGCGGTTCCCAATCTTGACCTTGGGCTCCGACCTGTCAAAACCCTTTGGCTCGACATAGGACCTGAGCTGTGGGTGCCTGGCAGGAGAGAAAGTATTGCAAGGTGGAGAGATCAACAAAGACCTGGCCCTGCCCGAACGCAACATCTCATAGAGCCAAATGGCAAAGGAAGGATGCAAGACATCAAAGTGAGGCGAGGTCCCCAAGTCGATTGGAACGCAGGTCGCAAGTCCAAGCTGAGAGGCGGCCTTTGACACAGCTCCAGAGCCACCGCAGATCTCAAGCACATCAATAATGAAAGGGATGGTCTTTGTGAGCTGAGGGAACCTTGAGTGTTCAAACAAAGGCCAGCTTTCAACATCCTCATCTTCGATCTGCTCACCAGCAGCTTTTAGCAAAGCAGCAGCCCCAACATTCAGCTCAGAGTACGCGCCTTTTCTATCGCCATTTAGCCAAAGGGATCGAGCCAAGCCCTGCTGAACTTCTGCCGACACAATCGCTCCTAAGCCCAGGGAGGCATCTGTCGCATAGATCCGACTCTGAGTGGTAGCTGTCAAATTTGAAGCCATCAAAGGCGCAAGAACAGCCGCGAGACAGAGCTCTTGTGCGACACGACGCGGGAGATGCACACTTTTCTCCTTGCCCCCTTCTCTACTCGCAGCTTTGGCACTGATGCTAAAGACCTCGCTGAAGATTACCATGGTGCAGCGCCTAAACATAGCAGCCGAAACCCAAGCACCAACGAGCTTCGCGACCAAGGTAGGCGTGGTGCAAGGCAAGGAGGCGGCGCGAAGGCTCAAGAGGCTCAGACTGACACGTCTGGCCAAAGGGGCAGCAGCCGTAGCGAGGCCTCTGCGGACAATTTCTTCACGGCTGTCTAACTCCGCACCTATTGCCTGAAAAAGGGCCTCACCTTCAATGTCTTTTTCCGGCGATCCTAGGAGGTGACCTTCATCATAAGCAGTCTTAGCAACCTCGTACAAGCGACGGGCAAGGGATGCTGATGGTCCAGTGCCATCAAGGCTCGCAGCACCTACAGTGACAAATTCGTCTATGAAAAGAGCCTCCCATGTATGGGCAAGAGGCAGAGGATGATGATTTCTCAGCCACAAATCTTCTTTGAGCGCACCAGAGCTGACAAGGAATTGGCTGTGGGACTCCAAAGCATATTCGACCCCAAGATGGTCGCCTTGAAACAAAGAAGCAAACCCCGGAGTGAAGGAAGAGGCAGCAAGAATGGTCCGTGGGTGGAATGTTTGGTCGCACAAGCCTCCCAAACCCTCACCTACAACCTGTCTACGCTTATTGCCAAGACTCAGGTTGTCAGCTGCGGATGTGAGAAGAGAGGCAAGAGCTCCAGTGCCAGCGAGCTCCTCTCGGGAGAAGTCAAAACACAAGGAGTTTGACTGCGCTCTCTGCGCCGTAACCTGCGCTTGGTGATAGAAATCTTTGCGATCAGACACGAAGCCAATGACTTTCTGTTTGAAACGCTTGAGGCTGAAAGCAGCGAAGAGGGACCCAGTCGGCAAGTCAGCTGACGGTCCAGCTATGTGCATTTCGCCGCCATTTACCAGCCGTCTGTCTCCAATTTGCCTGTCAACTGTTTTGCTTTTGTAACAGTTAAAGACTTTACAACGCAGGTTGGGGTCAGGTGGGCCCGGCGTCAAAGACAACAGGGACTTCGCATCCCATAATTTCACCAATTCCAAGTTTGTGCTTCTATCTTCCTGCTGGAAGTTGGGGCACAGCTCTTGAGGGACAGGGACACCGTGTCTCAAAATGGCTGGTTCACGAAACGGCAACCACAGTGGGCCCTCAAGCCACTCTCCCATGTTCCAGGACCCCGTCCCAGAGAGCTTCAAACGATCTGGGCACAAGGAACGATACGGCTGCAGCTGAGGGAGCTCAGCACTCGGGGGGGTTTTTGGCACAGACTGTCGAGACACATGGGCATAGGAAGACCCAGGGACAGCAGGGGAGCCTGCGAAACGTTCGAGCTCGACAAGATGGGCCAGAAGAAGAGGTCCAGAGCGACCAGGAGGGAGCGGGAAGCGACCCGGCTGGCTCTCACACGCAAACAAGAAGTTCCTAAGTCTGTCATAGACTTGGCGCTGGTGGCTGTTCGGAACTCTCCACAGCAGGTATTCAGGAGGTCGTTTGAGCCCCTCATGCACGTAGTTCAAGGCAAGCACCAAAATGTGCAACATTCGCCGACGCACGAGGGATCTCCACTTCCTCAAAGGAAGCCGTGGGCCGCTGGCTGCGAAAAGATTAAGCTCTGGCAGCGGGAGCGGAAAAGTTGCGGAAGGGGGGGCATTGCCGTCCCTGCAGGCAGAATTTTTGAAAGAGGCTCCTAGGTAAGCCCCAAAAGGAGTCCGGGATTTTAGGAGCAACCGAGGCAACGCAGCGGCGTACTCCCTAAAGGACAAGGTTGCATCGAATTCATGCTTCACGCTGGAAGTGGCAGGGACATCAGGCGAGCCCAGGGAAGTCTCTGTCTTTTCTTACAGGATTGGGCTTTTCCCCAAAGACACCACCAGAAGGAGCCGCTTTGGAGGCACATGCGTCACTTGCTTGACCAGAGTCTGATCCTACAGGGCCGGAGGAGCCGAGTCGAAAACCACCTACCCTACGACTAACCGATTCGGGGGACAAATGCTCAGCTGACGGGTCTGAGCTGCGACTGGGAGGACAACCACAGGTAGCACCTACACCCTGAACAGAGGCCTGATGCTCAGCTGACGGATCTGAGCTGCGACTGCTACCCAGACCCAAAGCAGTGGACAGATGCTCAGCTGACATGTCTGAGCTGCGACTGAGTAAGGAAACACCGGTGGCTCTGCCAATGCGCAGAAAGGAGGACAGATGCTCAGCTGACGGGTCTGAGCTGCGACTGGGATAACCACTAGAAGCACTATCTAAACCCGAAGTGCAGGACAGATGCTCAGCTGACAGGTCTGAGCTGCAATTGGGTTCGCAGACCCCATAACCATCGATGGAACCAAGGGTGGGAGGCAAGCGTTTGGCAGACAACGATGAGGTGCGGGCAGGCGGGCAACCACCACTAGCACCACTAGACCCCAACAGGGAGGACAGGTGCTCAGCTGGCAGGTCTGAGCTGCGACTGGGAGGACAACCCCTAGCAGCAACCCTACACCCCGTCTTACACCCGAAACTAGTTTCCCCAAGCAGCGATGAGGCGCGGTCAGGCGGGCGACTACCACTAGGACCACTAGAACCCAACAGGGTGGACAGGTGCTCAGTTGGCAGGTCTGAGCTGCGACTGGGAGGACAACCCCTAGCAGCAACCCTAAACCGCGTAGTACACCCGAAACTAGTTTCCCCAAGCTTAGCTCTAGATCCCCCCAACCAAACCCGCCTCAGGCTTGCGGTTTCTTCTTTGGCTGTCGCTTTGGTGGCCGCCTTTGTGAGGCCTCGGATTCTTGCGAGTCGTGGCTCCCGGAACCCTGGCCTTGGTGTTTCCCACCTTTGACTAAATCGGCACGCTTCACTTGAATGGCATCCAGCTCTTTCAAGGCGCCTAGCACCACCGTTACCCACCGCTGGGCTGCTAAGGGCGCGAACGCCCGCGCAAGCATGCTGCTCTGAGGCCTGGCAGTGAACATGGCAGCAGGGGGCTCTTCCAGCAACGTGAGCTGGAAGGCCAGGTCCATCCGCCCAGAGTCCATAACTGCCTGTTCCAATGCCACTGCCATTAGCGCCATGTGATCTTGAGCCAATTCCACGCGCCCTGCTTGCATGGCGTCTAGCGCATGAGCCAGCTGATGCGCCAAGAGTGCAAGATCCCTTTGAGATCCAAAACCTCCGAAGCGTTCCCAGTACTTGCTGAGACAAATGCCTTGGTGAAGCAAAGCGGCGGGGTCGGTCTCTGGAGTCACAGCTGGATTCATTCTCCGTGCCATGTTTTGGAGGACAGTCCTGAAGAAAACCCCTCGACCTGAGGCCAACTCCTCCTGGAGCTTTGCCCTCTGAGCAGCCCCTCTGGTGGACACTGAACTGGTCGCATTGTCTAGCAAAGGATCGCCTCCCAGCTGAGCAACCAGCGTGGTTAGGGCCTGACTCTGGGCCAGGACAGCCTTTGCTAGGGCACTCTCGCCTGAGATTCCTTGAACCACTTCCTCCTCCACACTGCCCTGAAACTCCAAAACCTCCTGCTCTGCCATGGTGACTCGGTGCAAAGGAGAGACGGCAGTGGTCTTGGCAGTCCTCGGAGACGGCCCCAACACAGCAGCAAGATTGGAGAGCTTCGCACCCTCCTTTGGCTTTGGCCCCAGCGGCAGGGCCAAGGTTGCAGCGGCCCCTCCCGCCAATCGAGCTTCGTAGCTTTCTTGCCGGGCACTCAGGTCTTCCAGTCTTGCAGTGAGAGCTGGGAGGGTCTGGGCAATTGTCTCGAGCTGAGCGGCCAAGTTTGCCGTCGTTGGCCTCTTGGCTTTGGCTGGAGGCGAGGCGTTTGCGGCGGTGGCGGTACCACCACGAGGAGTGCCCAAAGTGGCCTTTGGAGTCGCGCCCAGGCCTGAAGGTCGAGAAAGCCTGAGCACTGGCCTGGTAGGAGACGTCAAGGTTGGGACCTCCCCTTCTTCGGCCGAGTAGAAGGCCAGACGATCTCCATCGACCAAGGTGCCGCGCGCCCATGCCTGCGCACTCTCCAGCAAACTGACAGGGTCGGGGAAGATATCTGGAGTAGAGGGTCGAAAAGGCTGAGCAACTCGGGCTCCTCGCCTGCAACCAAAGGGAACAGGCGAAACACAGCATCTCCGCCCAAGTCCACGAGGGTCACAGCTAGACTCGCACCATCCTGCACTTCTGCTGATCCCCCAACAAAGCAAGCTCGGGGCGCTTCCACTTGAGTGTTGGGACCGACCTGGCCCTCCATGCCGACATCCATGCCAGCCAACAGTTCGTCGTCTGGGATAACCCCCGGCGGCAGTGCAATGAGACAACCATGATCCCGCTTCATCAAGATCACGGCCAGAGCTTCCACGACGCCATGGGCCACTGGGTGCTCGTACACATACAACTGGGAGAGCTGAGAAAAAGGATGAAGGTCCTCCATATTCACTGATTGTCAGGCCAGGAGACGCCTGCAGCCTGGAAGTATGCACGTGCCTCAATTTCGGATGGAAAGCCGTGCGACACAATGTCGCTTGATTCCAAGGGCCCCACAACTTGCTTGAACTCACGGAAAGTCTTGAAGACAGAAGGGGCCAAATTGCCACCCCCAAGCACAGCGTAAACACGGCTTGGGAGGGATAGAATCGGCGATGGCAGCGGTGTTCCGACGTGGCCGTTCAGCACAGCACGAGCCCAGCAGCCAGCCTGCCAAGCCCGTCTTACACGATCCTCACCACTCAAATTTGCGCTGCCAAGCTGACTGGCCGACCTCAGAACTGCTTGCGGGCAAACAGGGAATGTAGCAGCAACCTCGGACCTTGTAGGCGAGAGGCTCAGGGGCTCAAGAGCCGGCAAGGGATCCTGAACGGCAGGGCCCGATGAAGAACGAAGAGCAGTATGCGGTGAGCTAGCTGCAGCAGACAAGGAAGAGGTGGCAGCGCTTTGCGGGTAAGGGACTGCAGGAAAGTCCTCAAGGTAGGACAGAAGGGCTGAGGCTTCGCGGAGGGGGCCCTCAACCGTTACCGACAAACCCCTAATATTAGTCACCAAACTAACCGAACCTGGGCTCCCCGGGTTGCGCATGCACGTAGGCCTGGAGCCTTTGCAAAGCAGCCCGAGGCTGCGTGGCAGGGGTACCAGCCGGGTACCAGGCGGAGGCGAGCCGCCAGCAGACGACACAAACAAGTGCAATGCCACACAGGAGGCCAAGGAGGAATGAAAGAAAGAGGGCCGGCAGTGAGGAAGGAGCACAGTAGAAAGGGCAACCCAACCCGTAAAAGTTAGTCTCAACAAGATCCTTCCAAACCCTCACGGCCTGAAACCACCACATGAAGCTTGAGCATTCGGCAACACAAATGTTCTTCGCCTATAGTGGCAGGGGGTGCTACGCTGCATTATGTGCTTTTTACTGGTGGCTTTAGCTGTGTGATTTCGTGTTTGGAACTCTAAACATTTTGACGCTCCATAGCTCGTGGAGAATGGACGAGCAACCACCTCTCGTAGGACTCTGTTCTTATGTTCTCGTATTTGGCTTAGAGCTTTCTCTCTTCAAGACAACTCACCTGAATGATATGGAGTCTCATTAAGGAACTAAGTAACTCAGACTTGGAGAGTTCCCTCCCCCCCGCTGGCAAAACGCAGTCCCCCAAAACCCCCAAAAAAGCGGAGCAACAGTGGCGCCGTCGGTCTAGCGAGAGGGCGCCGGTCGCCCCGATAGCGTGGTGCTTAGGGACTGGGGGCATTCATAGAGTTTAGTTACCCTAGACGCTCCAATTTTCTGAGTGTGTGGGTGTGGTAAGGGCATGGTTTGAAGGGTTTTAAGCTGCTTGGGATGCTGTTTTCTCGGGTTTTAGCGGGATATTTGTCGTTCATCTGGGGTTTTCCGGCCTTTTTTGGTGCGGGGTTCCTTGCGACTCAGACTTACATACGTCTGCGAACCTGGACTGCCTCGTGTCCAGGGCATACGCACCGCCCCCCCAAAACCTAACATCCATACTCAAAATACACAGTACTCCCGAGCTGACACAGTAAACCTCCCCTAAACCCCCCCTAAACCCCTAAACCCCTAAAACCCTAAAACCCTCTAAACCCCTAAACCCCTAAACCCTCTAAACCCCTAAACCCCTAAACCCCCTAAACCCCTAAACCGTCTAAACCCCTAAACCCCTAAACCCCTAAACCCCCTAAACCCCTAAACCGTCTAAACCCCTAAACCCTAAACCCCAAACCCCTAAAGCCTAGGCGCCCAAAGACCCACGAAGGACCCGGCGCCTGTAGCTCCTCGGGGGAGCTGAGATGGGGCAGCTGCGGCAAGTGCCCGCCATCTCCCAGCGGCGCCTCGTATTAAAAGAGCGGGATGCTTACCCCCCTTAGAGAAAGCCCTGAAACTCGAGGGTTTAGGGCCGGGTTTAGGGAGTTTGGAAGTTTAGGGTTTGGGATTTTAGGGTGTAGGGTGTTTGGCAAGGTGCAAGACCCAATCACCTTGAATCACCAAACTCGACACTCACCTGGGCGTATCTGCTGGTGAGGGATAGACAACACCCAACAAAGGATGATCAACAAATCGACGGCCCGGGATCAAACAAAATACCTGTCAGCAGGGTTCAAACGACCCTAAAACAGGCTTTCTATTTACCATGGCTACCCTACTCGTAACCCCAAATCCTAACCCTAAACTCTAAACCCTAAACGCCAAACCCTTCACAATACTTGCAAGGGCAGCGGACAGAGAGCAACAAAAACAGCGTGTCTGCTTCTTCGCAGGCTCCAGCAATTTCAAAAACGTACCGCATTCTGCCCTCTGAAAGGCTCCAAGTACTATTTCAGCAGCGACCTGCACATGGGGATTTCCGAAAACAAGGGACCCCTAATATAAACCCCCAGATAGAAGGATCTCCTCATAATAAGGACCCCAACAAGGTACCCCGAATTTCGGAAACCCCCCATACAAACTACAGCACTTTCTGCCTTCTGACAAGCTCCAGAGATGGTATCTTGCTACAGCATTTCCGCTTACTTTGCAAAGTTGCACATGCGCTAAAACAGAAGTTTTGCCTAGTTCAGGCTGCAACATCTGGGATGGCCTTTGGAGTCCTCTGAACAATAGTTCCTAAATATGATGATCCTCTTGAAACCCAATGAGGGAAATATAAAGTATCCCTAAGGGCCTACCTAGAAATAGGTTGGGCAGATTTTGCAAGGGCTGAGGCCAACGTGCTTGGCGACTAAAGCATGTGGGGTGGGCGGGCTTGGTTTGCTTTGGTTCGGCATGGTCATAGCGGGGGGCGGGGGGCAGGGGGGGGGCAGGGGGGGGGCAGGGCAGGGCCCCGCTCGCCATTTGCAAGGTGCATTGACGCAGTTGGGATGTTTCCCCGACATACTAACAAGCCACCCTTAATGGAGAGTAAATGAATTTGTACTATAATCCCTATTGAGGACTGTCAGTATAAGGGGCAACATCCCAAACGCACAGCAGGGCTTAGTTGATGTTTCAGGGGAGAGTCCAGAACTTGGGGGGTGGGGCAATGTTTCACTGTCGCCAGAGTAAACGCCCACGCACGCCCTGAACTCTTCCGCTCTCTCTTTGGGAGGGGGGGGGGGGAATCTGAGAGGCTTTTTGAGCTTGCTTAGAGTGTGTAAGCCTCGTGCTATCCGAGGGCTGTTACGAAATTTCACGGAGCTTGTGGAAGCTAGGGTCCTCATCTTGTTAACAAGGACAATCTTTTGGCCTTGGAATGAATGAAACTCCCGCAAGGTCAAACTCATGCATTCATCAGACAAGCTGGGCTAGGACAAGGTTCGAGGAGGGGTCAGGTGTGAAGAGCTCGTGATCACAGCTGGCACCTTCACGAAAGCCCACGTGGAGTTCTCCGTGTCCAGCTGGTCTAGAAACCATGTGACCTCAATGTGGCAAGCGCATTGAGGTACCGTATCTCCAACCAATTGTTCTCATCGAGATGCAGCGCGTGGCGATCCGGAAGAGTAAAGAAACAGCTCGTGAGAAATGCTGCCTGCAGAAACCCCACATGCCCAGGCCACGACAGTGACGTTGATCCTGGGATCAACCTGCTTGGTCACGGTACGTGATCAAGCAGTCACGACTCAGCGACAAGAACGTCGGTGAAAAGCACGGGCGCACCACACCAGGAAACTCGGCACTGCTGTAGGGATGCACCACGTGCCAGGTTGTTTCCTGCAACTCAAGACGCGCACACTGTGCGGAACCCGTTCTGCCATGTTCTGCACGGAATTCCTCGGACATCTCTGTGGACAGCAGCTTCTAAGTAGGGGCAGGGCCGGGCAGGGTCCCTTTAAGCATGGGCTCCTTGTAAAAGGACGCCAAGAAAGATGCGGGACCCTACTCTCCGGCCTCTAACTCTTTGCGCACGTAGTCAACGTCTGTCCGACCTTTGACATCGGCTCAAAACATCTCTGAAGCCGCCGTGCAATGGGCGCTGCAAGGAGATCGACTGCCCTCTGCGCTATGCCGTGACTGAAGCTTAAACTTCGTGAGGTCCGGACAACTCTCCACATCAGAAAGGAGGAGGGCTGGACTTAGTAGCCGCCTGGCAAGCTCTGTAAACGCAGCCACATGTTGCTTATGCATGCTATCCGCTTCAAGGCTTTCGATACTTGCAGCTTTAACCTGGCTCGCCCATCCAAGGAGGCAAAGCAAACAGAACAAAACGAAGCATGGGTCGCAGCTTTCGCAGCCTTGCCAGCTGCATCACCAGCGGGTGCGTCGCTAGCTCCGCGAAGGCTGGCAGAGGTGACTTTTAAGACTTTCTGCTTTGGTTCAGGCACTGAAGCTGCTGTAGGTCGATTGAAGCTGTGGCATCCGCACTATTGCACGCGAAGCCCATCGAAACGCGAACAACCTCGGATCCTCTTGCCCAGGAGGACACCACCAAGAGCACTCACAGGACGATGGGAGCAATCTAAAGTCTCAGCACTACTTCTTGGTGAAGCGTCTCACCATTCATTGCTTGGCGACTGTAGACAGGGATTCAGTTTACATGTGGCAGTAAGCAGCTGTTCTCTGCACAACAAGCCCTCCAACCTGGCGACTTGGCCGCCAGGTCCCGCAGGCGTACTTCGTGGGAGCGCGGGAGGTCCAAGCGGGCGCTCTCCTGGCAGTCGCCATCAAGTCGCCATGAGCATAAGTTGTGGATTGGTCTCCCGGTGCAGTACTGTCGCTTCCGTTAGACATCTCGCTCATCGAAAGAGATAGAACGCGCGTGAGGGATATCATCAATGCAGGAAACAGCTCTGTGTCTTTGCATCGGAGTGGGAGCTGGATGTTACGGCGAAGGAAGCCTTTGCGCTGCCCACTTACGGACGATGACAATAAAAAAGGAATCACCAGAAGACCAAATCAGCACCAGACACACCAAACTGCGCGAAGTGCGAGGAGGTGCAGATCGCAGATCGCCTCGACCACAACGTCCCGCAAGCTACCGAGCTGGTCGTCGTCCAGGAGGTGGTCGATCATCACGCAGCCGTGCCTGGCTTCCATCATTCAAGAGCATGAGCTAGTTGAGGGCATGAAGCAGGCTGAAATGCTGCAAAAACCGCGTCCTTTTTTGGAAAGCGATACACCAGGAGTCCGGCCATGTCAGGCGGCTATGAAACGACACGTCGTGAACTGCAGTATAAAGCAGAATATCCCATTGCTCGAACCCGCCAAAATTTACATTTCACTTATTCTGGTAGCTTCTCCTGCAGCTCACACGCCGGACTGACCGCAACAGAGCCGGTGTCTTCTCACAGGCCATAGAAAACATGCCGACAGTGTCAAGCTGGTATTTCCAGTGTGCACATGCCTTGCAGGCATGTGACTCGACAATCTCTGTTGGCGAACCTCACTGACTCCTGTCTAAGGCTTCATGAGCCACACCACAGCAGAAACATGTAACCAAACAGGTGTCAGGCAAATCGGTGCAAGACAGATAGCTGCAGAGGCAGAGCTTATTCACTGAACTCCTGCAACTAAGCTGCTAAGCTACCGCTACCATTTGGAGTGGGCTCAAGCCCTCACTAGTTCTCAGCAGTCTGCATGCGAATCCTCAGCCAAGTCCGAGTTGCTCAGCCTGCACGAGGCACAACCACTGAACCCACCAAGTGCCCTAAACCAAGTGATACAAGCGCCAGTCTGCTAGCGAAAGCTAGACCGGCCCCTTCGTCTACAATTCTTGGGGCCTGTTCAGCAATCCACGTGCCAAGGGCACGAAGGCCAGCAGGGTGACACTGGCCTTCACGTGAAGGGAGTCAATTGATGTGTGCTCAAATGTGGAACCTACTTTACAAGCTATCCACGATTACCAGATGAGACGAGCCGGCATGCAACCGGCACATCCTACATGCAAACACTAGAGAGGCTTCACATGGGGGGGAGAGAGAGAGAGAGAGAGAGAGAGAGAGAGAGAGAAAAGAGGGCTCGAGGGCCTTGCAGTGTCTTGTACATTTGGATCTTATTCATGGCTATTCTGCGTTCACTCATGTTCACTCAGCACCTATCGCACAGGATCCGCCATATCGCCAAGCGACGAGGGACAGGGATGCCAAGGGCATGTCCATGAGGCGGCCTGGCCGCAATGTAGGGTCGCACTGAAACATGCTACCAAGCGCGTCAACACACACATACATACATACGTACATACATACATACCACACATACATATATATATATATATGTATATTATATATATGCATACATACATACATACATACATACATACATACATACATACATACATACATACATACATACATACATACATACATACATACATACATACATACATACATACACACATACATATCTATATATATGGTACCCCCCCCCCCCCCCCAACAAAACCCCACGTCTCAGGTCACCAATTCGCAGATTCGCAGATTTGTAGCCCCAACCAATCTGCAAATCTGCGAATCTGCGAAACCTCGAGAAAACGCAGATTCGCAGATTCGCAGATTTGTAGCCCCCATCCATGCAAATCTGCGAGTCTGCGTTTCCTCGAGAAAACGCAGATTAGCAGATTTGTAGCCCCCAACCAATCTGCAAATCTGCGATTCTGCGTTTTTCTCGAGAAAACGCAGATTCGCAAAATTCGCAGATTTGTAGCCCCCAACCAATCTGCAAATCTGCGAATCTGCGTTTTTCTCGAGAAAACGCAGATTCGCAGATTCGCAGATTTGCAGCCCCCAACCAATCTGCAAATCTGCGAATTTGTGTTTCCTCGAGCAAACGCAGATTCGCAGATTTGTAGGCCCCAACCAATCTGCAAATCTGCGAATCTGCGTTTCCTCGAGAAAACGCACATTCGCAGATTTGAAATCTGCGTTTTTCTCGAGAAAACGCAGATTCGCAGATTTGAAATCTGCGATTTTTCTCGAGAAAACGCAGATTCGCAGATTTGAAATCTGTGTTTTTCTCAAGAAAACGCAGATTCGCAGATTTGTGGCCCCCAACGAGTCTGCAAATCTGCGAATCTGCGTTTCCTCGAGAAAATGCAGGTTCGCAGACTTGAAATCCGCGTTTTCCTAGCAGATTTGAAATCTGCGTTTTTCCCGAGAAAACGCAGATCGCAGATTTGAAATTGCAGATTTGCCTCTCTATGTCACAGATCAAATCATCTGGTGGCCTCAACAATCTGCTTCGTACTTAGACTATGTAATTCGGGGAGGAGAATTAAGTAATCATATTTTAAGAAATAGAGGAGCCTTCATATTCAAATAGAGGCCTTAATATTTAAATTACTGAATTCGGGAGGGACTTAATAATTTACATAATTTAAACCCCGGTCCCCTTCAGCAAGGAGAATTAAATAATGAACAAATTTAAATCTGAGGGGGGGGCCTTCAGATTTAAATAGGGGCGTCATATGTAAATTGTGTAGTTTTTTGTTTCCCCCAGAAGGAAGGAGCTGCCCCCCCCCCCCACTTCAAGATTTGGATTATGTAAGATATAAATTCTCCCCCCTGAACTAAATGATGTACATATGGAAGGGTCTTCATATTTAGGCTTCATATTTAATTCCTTGATTCGGGGAGGGAATTAAATAATTTACATAAATTATACGAAGAAACTATTTTAAACAATTAAATCCTGAAAGAAGCAGGGGGAACGAAATGAGTTTAAATCTGAGGGGCCTTCATTTTTACTTATTTAACTTATCTAACTCCCCTCAGAAGCAGAGAGCCCCCCCCCCCCCCCCCTCCCCCCTTTCAGGAATTAAATTAATTTGCCTATTTATATTAATGTGTTTAAAATATTGAAATCCTAAAAGGGGGCCTTGCCCCCTCCCACCGGGGGAATTCAATCATTTAAATCTGAAGGGGCCTTCATATTTAAATAGGGATCTTCATAAAAAAAAATTAGCTGTTTCATTCCCTCCAGAAGGGGGGGAGCTCCCCCCCCTCCATTTCTTAGGATTTGATGTATTCAAATTATTTAGATCTTTAATTATTTAATTCTCCCCCCCCTCCCCCAAAGTCAATCATTTAAATGTGGAAGGGCCTTCATGTTTACATTACTTAATTCGGGGAAGAGAATTAGATAAAGTAAATATGGCGGGGCCTTCATATATAAATAGAGGCCTTCATACTCAAATTATCTAATTCGGGGAGAGTGTTTAAGTAAATCATTTAAAAAATCACATATTTCTATTATTTTAAATAGTTTAATAAATCCTGATAGGGGGGGGGGGGGGGGGCCTGGCCCCCTCCGCGAAGGGGAAGTCAACAAAAAAGAAGAGATCATTTAAATCTGAAGGGGCCTGCATGTTTCAATAGGGGGGCTTCAGATTTAGAGTATTGAAATCCCCTCAGGAGCTGCCCCCCCTGCCTTTCAGGATTTGAAGCATTTGAAGCATTTAAAATCTAATTATTTTAATTAATTTAATTAACAAATTTAGTTAATTATTCTCTTTAGTTTAGCTATTCAATTCTCCCACCCGCCTTAAAATACATTAAAGCCCCCCCTTCAGGGTTTACACAATTTAGTTATTCAAATCATGTCGAAGCCTGTCATGGGAAACATCGATGCTCGCCGATCGTGTTTCTTAAACGTGGGGTTTTGGAAGGGGGGGGGTAGCATATATATATATATATGTATATCTGTTGTACACACATGTGTTGAAGGCATGCAACTACAATGACTACAACATAGGTATTCTCAAGGCCGCCATATGAGCACGTGGCCCACCGCCTGCGGCCTCTCGAGCCGACATCACTTCTGGGCTGAGAAGCCTCCTGCAATGACCACTGCAATATTCTGCAATGCTGCCCTGCAGACCCTGCTTTTGTAGGCTCTTCAACTCAACAGGCTCTTCATACACAAGCTCCAAATCCGTCCTTCCCTGGGCTTCTGTCCTCAGACATGATGGAGACATGTGGAGACCATCACCGAACCGAGCGACTGCGTTGGTGTTGCAAGTGCCGAAGCAGGTCTGGGGCAAGGGCTCGTCGTGTGGCCGCATGTGAAGCAATGCCTTGCTCAGGTCTCAAGTTCATCTACAGTGAGGTCACCAACTTCCCCTTATAACTTCAAAGCTGCCAGAACTCAGAACACCCCCCAAAGTAGGAGTACCCCCTAAACTCCCCTCTTACGGTTCCCTACGTCCCCATTTCGGAGTCGGACCTCGCCGGCCAGCGCCTCTGCAGCTTTGGCGGGCAGCTGCGTGAGGCAAGCGGCCAGGGCGCCCTGTTTTGCTGCTTCTCTTTTTTTCAAAGTTCTTTAGAGGATGTCTTGGCTCTTGGATGCTTACTTGGCTGCTTTTTGGGGAGCTCTTGTGCGGGGGCTTCTGGATGGCTCTTGGGTCGAGAGCGCAAAAGTCGGGCAGTTCAAAATCATAGCAGATGGCAGACAGCGTGCTGTCCACGACCAACGAAGCAGCTGGGTGAGCCTCTACCGATGTCATCACCAACATGTCGGCGTTTCCTCATGGGAGATCACTTCTACTCCTACATCAATGTGCTGATCACGGTGGCATGCGGCCCGACCCCTTCTCAAAATGCCGATGCCGTCCTCTTGCGAGCAGGCCTGCATCCCAAAGCATCTCACCAGCCTCCGGTCAGGCCAAATTGGCGGGTCCCTACGGCAGTGCGTACAGAACGAGCATCGAGAAGCCAGCAAGCCGTTGAAGTGTTGAAGGGTATTCCGGATGCCCACCTGCTTCACCACGGCCCGTCGACAGGTTTGTTGGCATGGCCTGAGGCACGAAACTGATGTGAAGCTGACCTGAGTTCCGCCGTCGCAGACGAAATCCCAAGCCTCGCTGCCTGCTCCATAGTGCTCCAGCTCCTGCAAACCCGACAGAACGAGCTTCTGACTTTGCAATGCTTCCGCCGCATGGCACGTATATATGAAAACCCAAGCACACACACACACACACCATTCCTCATGGATTCAAAAGATTCAAGCAAAGGAAGAAACCCTGCGCCTCATCTCGGCCGTCTTGACCGCCTTCTCGACGGCAACCTTATGGAAGCAATGCCGGCAGCGCTG